TATTTTTTATTGTTATTTCGAAAAAATAGTCAACGAATAAAAAACTCTTTTATATTGTTTACTTAGAATCATCTATTATTATTTTAAAAGTTAGCTTACCGATATTTACTATTAATCACTTATTATCTTCGACAATAATTTCTCTTATAAATACAATGAATAGATTTGATGTATCTCTTTTTTTAGTTATACCCAACTAATTATAGTTTTCTTCATTATTTAGTCTCATTAATATTATATAATTTATTCCGTTTTCATTGAAAAGATTTACTTCTATATAAAAACAACAATGTTAATTATCTTTCTTTTCATACATAGATTAAATTCTTGATTCTTTTATCTCTAAAATGGCTGAATAGTTAACTTCCACAAATAGTTTTATTCATTTAACAATTTTACTACTATAGAGTCTTTAAAATATATATAAAGAATTTAGCAATTTAATAAATTATTATATGAATCTTTTTTTAGAAGATCAAGACTTGGTAAATATAGTGCTTTCTAAAAAAATAAATAAAAATTAATTTTAAGATGGTTAAACTCGTTAATATTCGTGTGCATTTTTTTAAGAAATTTCTCTATTGATAATTTTAAAAAATAGTAATTTCCGCACCGATCCATTACATTATTAACAATAAAAAAGTTATTCTATATTATTAAAAAATCAAGCGATGCAAATGTTCAAATAATTTCTCAATAGCATATTTTATATCAATTACAATCAATTCCAAATCTACACAATGTTTGAACTTCTATTTTACAAAAATACACAAGATACTTTTATCAATTTTTTAGTATATAACTTAAAATTAGAGTTAAAACTGTCATCAAGATTATTAAAAGTCCTAGAAAATCTAGCTAAACCCGAATAAAAGACCTTCCAAAGATTCTAAAGCAATTTTGCTGTATTAAATAATAAACGTTAGAAAATTTAAGAAATTTAACTCTATCTCACTAATTAATATATTAAGAATATATCTCTTGATTAACATAAAGTCCGACAAACTCTTTGAAAAGTAATTTTGAATCTAAGACCTTAACAAAGCATTTTAATTCATTTAATTACTTCAGAATTATCAAAATCCTATAAAAGATAACATTCTGATGAAATCTCAATGTTTGATTGCCCAGCCTGCATTTGAATTTCTATTATTATTTATGTATTATTACAAGTTAATTTAAGAGTAAATAATTGGATAATTAATTTACAAAAGGAGATCATATTATTGATTATGATAATATATCCAAACTGTGAATGGAATTTGGCTTTGTAAATCAAGAATTAATTACAAATTTATTAGCTTTAACTTTTATATTATTTTTAACTATTTTGCATAATGAGTGTTGCTTATAAATAAGCCATACTACTTCCAGATAACATATCATTCAACAGTACAATTTTAGAGAAATCAAGGTCAAATTAAAAAGATTAGTAATATTTAATATTCTATTTATTCCCTAATTCATTATAAATATGCCAGTAACTAACAAAGTATTAGAAATATAATTTTCAGGAATTCATAGATTTGAGTAATTAAAATAATAGATTATTTGTCAATTATCTTATTCAGTATTTTATATTCTTACATGCAAAGTCATATTCAATTATTCCCTATTTGATAAATAGTAAACTTACTTGAATATATTCGAAGTAAACTTTGTTATAGAATAATTAGTCTAAGGAACATAATGATTTGCATCCTTGTTATGATGTCAAAAATTGAATTTTAGCTGGACATGGATTAATACAAGTATTTTCTAGTTGAACCATTTGATTACAGCACTAAGAATATTGATTGGGTAAACTTCCCCAACCTTATTAACAGCTTGGATGGCAAATAAGACCAGAAGAGATGAAATTCTTAATTAATACAATACCAATTTCAGTTTATAAATTGAATTAATGGTATTCTTTAATTTAAGTTTAATAAATTTTTAATTAGCAGTCAAGATTAATGAGACAGGTTATCACAAAATCCATTATTAATGATTTATTATTTTATCGAATTATTATAAATCCAATTATAATTTTATTCATTTATTGAATCTGTCATAAACATTTAATAGAATTATTCAAAATAATAATAATATCCAACTTACAATATAGCTTTAGTATAAGTAATATAACTTCCTATTTGTACAATTTAAAAAGTCTGCAGTTATTTTAGTTTCAGTCCTTTTGACAAAGAGCCTTCAGATTATTTAGGAAAACTTACTAAAACTATATTTTATGTTTTAAGTATGCAGCGAAAGATTCCATTTACAATTTGTCTATGAAGCAATTAAAAGAATTTTGGATATTAATAAAATCATTATTTAAATAGTAATACTGTATTCTTCTCTTCGATTTAAAGATTTAAGACTAAGGCATTATTTAATAAACTTCAAATATACACATATATAACACTTTATGTAAATTTAAGGCAAATTGAATTGTAAATTAATTTATACATTGTTGATAGCCTAATAATATAATCAATCTGAACTAGACAATCATAAAATTTATATTAAAATTATAAATAAGTAACATAAACTATTTCTTATTTATTTTTTCTTATTATTGTATGAAAACAATAGAAATTTAATCATACTGGCTTTAGTATGAAATATTGTTCTAACAAAAAAAACTGAGTTTAGCTTCTACATTTTGTTGAATTGGTATTTTAAAGTGGGAAAATGGATTGAAACCTATAAATAAATAATTTCAGGATAGAATACCCAAATAAATTTTAGAATAATCTATATTATGCTCTCTTTAGGTTTAGAATCATCCGCTGTGTCTCTAAGGTCTAATAATAAATTAAGATTGCTTGATTTATTCTATTGTTAATTTTCTCAAATTGCGGTTGGCCATTTTGATAGTAACAAAGAGTCTATAAAATATTAGTAAAAATAGGAAAAATTACTAGGTATTTCACTATAATGCTTTATTAATATTTGAAAATAATTCTAATTTTATTTGCTTTCTTTAAAATATTTATTTATTTATTACCCTCTAGTAAATTTGAATACAAATTTTATTACAAAAACCATGTATTAATCTCATTTTGCTGAGATGATTGAATATTATATATTTTTGACTTAATATTTCTAAATTATTTTCTATTAATTTTTTTTTTCAATTAAGATTTCTTTAGTCTAATGTTATTAATTTTTTAGCGTTTTTAAGGTTACTTACAGATTAATATTAAGGATATGTTTATATGTCAATCTTTTGCGATGCTCTTAACATAAGGTCTAAATAAATTTCATTAATAGATTAATTTTTACTGAAGTTCATAAGATCTTTTCAAAAGGTCATTATCAGGTTCATTAGTAATTCGTTATTGAATAAATAATTTCTATTCATTCTCTGATTTTAATTTATCTATTGCGCTCTTAATTTGTGATATGATATGATAAAAGTGTTGACAAAACACATTTACAAACTCATCTGAAGTGCTTTTGGGCAATCTTGATTATTATTTATATATTTTTTTTTTATCTTAATTGTTTAATTTATTGAGCAATTTATTTTTGAAGAAGGCTACAATGACACAATCTCTAAAGTGGGGTTTGATATAAATCTGAAATAGTACTATGTATAATTCAGTTTGGCAGATATAATAATAAGGGCTAAATTGATAAAATTTAGTTTTAGGTTTATTTATTTAAATGAGAACTAATACTACGGTTATGATTTATATCAATTCCTAAATATCTATAATTAAAAAGAATTGGCATATTATTAGAATATTATATTGGAATTGTTAATTTGATTGAAATTATATCACTTTTTTTCTTGTTAACAATATGATTCCATTTGTTAGATAATTTGATAACTGATTTGATAGGGAAACGTTTTCTTTTTATTATATGGGTTAATTAAAGGCATCCTATGCAAGGATTCTAGTAATTAAACTTCTTTTTGCTGAAAAATTTTTATTGTTTTGAGGATTTTATATACCATATGTCAATAGTATTATATAATAAAAATTTATGAAGTTTCCTTTTTTCTTTTGATTCTATCTAGTAATAAGGAAATATTAAGTTAGGTTTCTAATCATTAATTAATCTAGTTGAAAGTTTTAATGTTGCATCATATAAGTAGAGTTTTTCATAAAATCTTGGTTCTAAAAATTTAAACAAAGGGCTTAAAATGACTAAAGGTGTAAATCCTTCACTTAAACTTATTTCTGGATAGACTTGATTAAATGGCAGTAATCTTATTCATCCTAATTTTCTTAATTCAAATAGTCTCGGGTCATATATATTCTTTTATGAATACAAATTAATAATTTTCAACACATCCACACTTTTAATTTTGTAATGACACAATAATCGTAATTTCCTATTTTTTGTTCTGAATTGATACTTCCATAGCTATTGATAAATTCATCATTTTTTTTTAAATTAATAATTCATCAATTTGTTCCTATTAATGAGATTAATTTATCTAGAACTTAACATATCAATTTTATTAATAGAATTCTTTAAATCCTCTATTTTTAATGTAAATTGAATTGGATTTATTATTATTTAATTTCAATTATTAATAAAAAAAATTCTCTCATAGTCAAAGAAGTAATAAGGTTTTTGATACAAATATCATTCAATTTAGAATCCCTCAATCATACATCCTTACTATCACCTGATATTGAAAATAAATTTTAATGTATTTTCCCAACTTTGAGATAAAGTGATGTTAGATCAATATTTTTAATTATCTAATATGGTGAATCAACTGATTCCTTATAATTTGATGAAAAGAATAGGAATAATAAAGGGTTGCATTTGCTTTAAAATTAGCAATCTAATATTTTCTGAGTTTTCTAAAATATTTAGATTGTTTTTAATGGGTCAAAAAAATCAAAATGATAAATAAATAAAAATACAAACAGCTTACCTGTATATTTATCGATTTCATCATTTAATGCACAATCTAAAACTTTGAAAATATCTTACTCTATATTTCAGTGGTATTTGAACATTTTTCAATTATAGTTGAAAATGAAATAGTATTGAAATGCTCCCAATAAAGTAAAATTATTATAAAGATTTGATCCGTATTTATGGATTCTCTTTGATATACTCATCACTAATACAATAGATAATATTTTCATAAGCGTATGGTATATTTAATTACTAAATTGTGATAATTTTTTACTTTTGAAGCTGCGTAAATTCTATCGACACATATTGTTACTGGTATAATAATGCATGCTGTTTCATTCAATTCAATGATTTATAGCACATATAAAATCCAAACTTAAAAATTCTGTTTGACCTAATTGGGAATGTGTAGAGCCAGAATATCAAGCAATCCTGCTGAAAAAATCAGTTCAGTAGAATTAAAGCTGAAACCCTAAATCATATAAATGACAAGAAATTACTTCATTATTTTGAATGACAGCATCTTAAGAATTAAATATTGCATTTTTTCCTTTTTTCATTTCAAGAATAAATAAACTACAATTCAATTACAATTTATTACAATACCAGAATTAATAAAGATGCTAAATAATAATTAACTCATAAATGCTCCAATTTGAGTTTAATAAAGAGACTAGCTCAAAGCTTTTAGCCTAATTTATTATCTAAATATGTCCAATTTTCTTAATTTACGTCATAATTCTATAAGAAAAATATGATTTATATATTAATAATTGTCTTAATATTTTGCTGCTCTTTGATATTGCATTTTATTAGAAATATTGTCTAACATAAATTGGCTGCATATAAACATTTATATATGTAAGTCATTTTTAATATGAATCACTTATATTTTATTTTTTATGGATTACATAAAAGACATATATTTTATCATTTTTAGATATTAAAAGGGAATAAAGAATAAATTGAATTAAATTAGAAAAATGTAACCACATCTAATTTATCTAGTAAATAATTTTAATTAAAATGAAGTATTTTACATTTGCTGAGATATTATTTCTTTTTAGTATTAAATTGATACAGCTATCTTTAGAATAATACGATTAAAATTTTTAGAAATTTTTAACAAATTTTTTAAATGATTTATCAATTTTATCCATAAAAACTTGTTTATGTGGAATGGTTTCTGGAGTGCTTTTGTTATATATTTTGTAAAATTTATCATATGATAACTTTTTATGCTAAAATATAACTATAGGTAGATGAATAAAGAAAAAAAGTTATTTCCAAAAATAGTGAATTCAATTTATAAAATTTACTTTATCTGGTTATAAATCCATTTAATTTTTATACAATAATATATTCGTTATTCAAAATTTCGTAACATTCTCCATCTAATATTAAATATCTTAATCATATAAGATAAAATTTACAAATTGATAGCTTTAGCATGATTTCTAACACTAAATGATGAAAGATTACAAGCATAATTCATGATAAAATTATTGTTACCACAAAGCTCGTTTCCGAATATTAAGGAATCTTCAGATGGAGAATTTAATCAAGGGGTCATCCTTATTGATACTTAATAATTACTTCCTGCCATATCAAAAAATAACTTAACAATTACATCTGAATTGATAGTACATCTAATTTATAATTTCATCACATTCTACAACTTCTGATACAATTATTACATCTCCATAATGGATTCACAATTAATTACTTCTTAATTTAATTACTTAGTACGTATCCCTTTAAAGAAGATAGAGTAAAAATGATTAAAAAACTTATTTAAGAGGAATACAATATCTAAAATTAAAAATACTTATAATCCTCAGAAAATTTGTTAATTTTAACTAAATTCTATCATAGCAAATTTTATGCATTTTTTATCGATTATAAAAAATTATATTTTTGAATGCAAATTTTATACAAAGCTTTATTTAATTCTATGCTATTTAATTGACAGTAATAGATTTTAAAATCTTGTCTTATTGGTATTTTTATCGCATTCTAAATATTTAGTAGAGTGGTATATCTAGCATTAGTTTTAACCAGGTATATTTGGTTGAAAATACAGAAAATATCATAACTAATTTTAATATTTAAATCATTTAGGAAATAATAAAATTTGAACCAACCACTTTATAACAAATCTTTTCTCAATCAATATAACAAAATAGGCATTTGAAGACAATAAACATTACATTAAAATTAATAAAGATTACATTCATCAAATTGGATAGAATATGATCATTACATCTGACAGTTAAACTGACCATTATTCTATAATTGCTATTAGATTTTTGATATTTAGTCCACCAGAGCATGGAATAAAAAATTAAAATTAGATTGTATTTTTATTGTATAAAGACATAATTAAAAATGGCAATCATTAAAATGAGTGGAAAATTCATTTTAACAATGCACAAAATTTCCAGAAGTTTTTGGTTATACCAAGAAAAGAGAACTTTTATAATAAATATCAAATCTATATGTAATTTATATAAGATATTATAATTTTTAAGGCAATCTTTAAATAATAAAGGCAAAATATTTTTAATTAAAGAAAATACAATTATGACATCTATAATTAACTTATAATTACTGACATAAAAGTCTTCTTAATCTAAATTAATTAAATCTCTATCAAGTAGCATTTATACATTAATCATTTAATTATACTTTAATGCTATTATCTTAGATACAAATGTTAAATTAATGAGCTATTGAAAAGACCCTTTCACTTTTTTTATTTATAAAAGATAAATAATTATTGTGTTAAAAATTAATAATTTGTAATAAATTTAGTAATAATTAAAAAACAAATTCTATTTTAAGATCATAAATTAATGGTTTTAATAATAAATGTTGAAAAATTTCCCCATCAAAGGATTGAACTAGATAACTATTAATAATTAAAAAATAATCAGAGAAACTCTTCCAGACATAATTTACTATTAACAATTTTATATTTTATACACTTTACTTCTAATCAAATTATTAGATATCAATAAACTACACAATCATATCATATTCATTTTTTAGAAAAAACTATATCAATTTTTTAAATGATGAACTTATTTTGCTAATTGTGACATTTTCAAAATCTGCTAACAATTTAATGATAAAATATAGGAAAAAATGTACTATAATACTCTTCTTATTTCTCTTAAGAATATATAAAGTAAAAAAGTATTACTATTTATAAAAATTGGACCAAATTTAAATTACTATTTAAATGTGATGATTTATATCAATATTCTCTTTCAATATTCTAAACTGTAATTAGTTTGATGTTTAATTCAATGTCACCAACAAGTTCCCATTCTTAATTATAGTTCCATAAGTTCTTGAGACTTCAAGTTTTCAAAATTTAATAACTTATTAATAATTGCATTAAATTAATAAATTTTTTATTGTTAAGATTAATAGTTATTTTAAAATAAATTTAGACATCTTCCATTTTTTGGAACTTATAGATTTATTAGCTTGTTAAATTAAGCGGGAAAATAAAAATCACAACTTTGCCTTCCTCATGAAACTGGAAATTCCAAATACTTTTTATAAATTTTTTCTTAAAGCTTTGTAATTTTGAAGATTATTTGAAGATTTTTAAAGGAATAAAAACAATTAGTTTTTAATAAATGTTGTTCTTCTACTTCTAATAATCTAATTTATTTATAATTTGACATTTGATGTCAATTTCATAACTAATATTTTTTTATCAAGTCCACAAAATATTAATTATTTTTATTTTCATTGATTGATAATTCTAAAAATATATCAGTATGCTTCACCAATAGTTTGAATAAATGAACAATCATTTTTTATTTTTATGCAAATTCCACAAATTCATAGTATAATAGGTGCTTCCAGAAATAAGTTTTTCATCATTTAAAAAATTCACATAAGATTTGACCTTACAAATAAACTAAGGATTCCATTTATTTTGGTTTAACAAGATGTCCCTCTAGTTTTTTTGGTGTCTATATAGTTATAGAAGAAATTGAAAAAGAATTAATAATTTTCTCTTTTTCAATAAGAACTAAAAAATATCCAAAAACAAAAACTAAATATTTAATTATTTGTATGATGATTCTTCCATCAAACGAACCAGAGTTAAATGAATCATTATTCTCAGGTTTTGTATAAAATTTAAAGCACTTACTATATTCATATGTAATCCATCTAAATTTGTAGTTAAATACATTTTGCTTTGTCTATCAAGGAATTTTAATTTTATTCTTTAAATCATGTATTTCCATAATTTTGATCATTGAGCACATTTGAACTATACAAAGTGTATTGCTAGTGAATCACTAAATTATTGCAATTGATTCACAAGATTAAATTTTGAAATCTTCACCACTACTTATATTACTCACTATACTATTTATGTATTTTGAACATTCAAATGGTAATTAAAAGCAATTAATTTCATTTAGAACATGATTTAATCGATTAAAATTCCTATGAAATCCATTAATTCTCCCTTAATAATTAATAAAAAGCTAGTATAAAATCATGATATTCCAACTTTAAGGATTTCTGTGATATGATAACCTAGTATAATTTAATACTGAGAGATATGATATTTACTTGTGATTTTTCTAACATAAAAAATAGTAATAAATTTTATCCTTTTACAAATACTTTAGTTTTTATTAATTATATTGGCTTAAATAATAATAAAAGCTTTCTTAAAAATTTCTTGAATTTGATATATTTTAAAATACACATTTATTGTTATTTTTATTTTGCAGAATCTTCAAACCTGAAACAATAATAATTATGAAATTGTATTTGATAATTATTATTTTAATGATTTTTTCTATTATAATACAATAAAATATAATTGTTTTTAATTTGAATTTTTACCATAATTAAATTTAATTTAATAGAATTTCAATAATCAGTTTATGTTTAAATGAGGAATAAAGTCAATCAATGTTTTATTATTAAAATCATAAAAATGAATCATGAAGGTACTTAAATTCATGAAGATCAAATGAAATGCCATATTCATCAGCTTAAGATGATTGCTGTAGGCCTAGATTTATCAAATAATGGATAATTTTCTTACTTGTGTTGTAATTGTTTAGTAGAGTAAATGAATAATTATAATATATTAACATTTGAATAAATATAACAGTGGGTTTAATCATATACGGCGAAAAAATAATAATAAAAACTAAATTCAATCACAATAATATTAGAATAGTTTAAACTCATATAAGTATCAATTAAAAAATTCAAATCTAAAGCTGATGAGATTTTGAAAGAGATCGAAAGCCAAATAACAAAAAAAATTTCAACTTTTGTAGAAGAAAACTAATTTTTAGAATAATAAATTTTAAAAGAAAAAGAAATTTTAGAAAAAAAGAAAATTGAAAAAAAAAATGATTTACCTCCTTAGGATGTTAAATTTTTTTTACAAATTTTTTCAACCCCAGAATAACAAGATGAACTACAATAAAAAATTTTAGACGTAGATACAATTTTTAAAAATTTTGAGCTCATTTCTAATGATTAATCATATATCGATACTATTTAGGCTTTTAAGAATGCTAAATAGAAAATAACAGTAGTTAATGTTGGTAATCAAATTGAAAAAATGCCTAAGCAAATTAAAAATAATAAAGTACCTTTTATATATTGATTAAGAAATCATTAAGTTTAAAGATTCTTTGTAAAGCACATGATAAAGAAATAAGTCATATTGACATAGAGTCTAAAAATAAAAATATAGAAGACAGATTTGCTTGTCCTGAATGCATGTCTCATCCTGGCTAAGAAGTATATGGCACAATAGAAAAAGTAAATTAGTCATGGAATGATAAAATAGAACAATAAAATTAAGTTGGAAATGAATTGAAGGTAAAGAAGTAAAAAAAATAAGAAAAATTGAATGAAAAAATTGCTAAAATGAGAAAGAATTACAATGAATAATTAAATAAAATCAATGATCAATTAAAAAGTGATTTTTCTAGTACAAATGAGATTATTTAGTTTAAATAAACTTATCTAGAATAATTAAATAAAGAAGAATTATTATAAAATCTTAAATATTTGATACAATATGAAGATAAAGATAAAAATACTTAAGATCCAAAGATTAAGGATATGATAACTAAAAACACTAATAATTCTAAAGATATTGAAAAAAAATTAGTACAGTTAAAATAGTATGATTTAATAAATATTTAAGAGTCAATTAATATTTTACAAGAAAAATCAAGTAGATGACAACCAAATTCAAGGAATTATCTTATTATTTGAAAAAATATAAGGGAGTTCATAAGCAAATTAAGAATAATTGATGAAAAAACAAGAATTGGATGAATTTATTAGTTCTTCAAATTAGATATATTGCTAATTGGATTTATTGAATTAGACAATTTCTTAATTTTAGTAACACTTAAAAGAAATTATTTCAATCCAAGATAAAATTAAATCAATTTCAGATCAATAATATTTTATTAACATAGAAAAATAATTTAAAGATTACAAGGATCAATTCGAAAAGGATTTTTAACATTTGAAGAAATTTTGTGAAATGGAGGAAGCAATAAAGAAATGGTAATTCGATTTAGAGCTATCGTAATAAAACTCAATTAAATAAGATCAAACTTGTTTTGCAATTGCTGTTAATAAAGATTTTACAATATTAATTGCTGGATGTAATAATTAAATTTAAGTATTTGAATTTATATAAGGAATCTTAAAATAAGTTTAAGTATTAAGTGAACATGGTAAGAATATACATACTTTAAATTTCATGAAGAGATCAAATTATTTTATATCTGGAAGTGTTGATAATTCAATAATAATATGGGCAAGAAATCAAAATAATTCATGGATTTTCCAATAGAAATTGAATGGACATACAGGTAGTATACTATGTTTGTTATTAAATAATAATGAAGATATTATAGTATCTGGTAGTCATGACTATTAGATTAAATTTTGGTAGAAGTAAAATGGATGGTTGTGCTCTTAGACAATTACAGATCATACAAGTACTGTATATGGATTAAGTTTCAATGAATAATAGAATAGATTGATATCTTGTGGAGATGATAATATTATATTAGTAATTGAACAATTAGAATTGAATAAATAATGGATTGTAATATAAAAGATTACAGTAGAACAATTTGGATGTAGATTATGCTTTATTGATAATAATAGATTTACATTCTATCCTTATGGGAAAGATTACATAAATGTTTTTGAGATGAATAATAGTAATAAATAGTATACAAAGACAAAAGATATTCCTGTAAAAAGTGGTAACATTTATGATAATTCTTTATTTTCTTCCTAATATATAAAATTAAAATGTATGCTTGTGAATAAGAATGGTTAAAATGTAAGTTTAATAAGGTTGAAACAAAATGGAGAGTTTATGACTGAGGAAATTATTGATTTTGGAACTCGCAATCTTTTTGGATATATGACTGATGATGGACAGTATTTGATTACTTGGGATGGTAAATCAAAAGAAATTCAGATCAGAAAATATTAGGAGAAATGATTTATTAATTTATAAGTGATCATCAATTTGTATATTCAATTTTATTTTTATTCTCGTTCTTTCTCGAAATTATCTTTGTTTTGTTAAACAACTTAGTTTTTTAATGGAATTTCTTAACAATTTTGAAAGAGTTCAAAATTCAAAGGATCTCATAAAAATGCTAATAATAGGGTTTGAGTATCGTTAATGTAAGAAAACGCGATTTTTCTTCAAAATAATTGGTTTCTAATCTTATAATTTTCTTTTCTATTAAGTTACTGAAAGTTTTTAAATCCTTATAATTCATAATAACTTGCATAGTCTTGATTTTTAATTCAAAAAATAAGGAAGGTGATTATAAAAGTAAAGATTGAACATTATAAATAAAGTGTTCATCTTTATATCATATAAAAATTCGAAAATAAAATTATAATGAATTAAATTGAGAAATCTAGTACTGTTATCCGACCACCATTATTTTTTAATCAAGTTATCAAAAAATTATTAAATTTAAAAGTTTATTGAACATTTACTTTGCTAGTCAAAAAGAAGTTCTTCAGAAAAAAATCCATATTGCTTTTCGTATAAAAGATCTTCATAAGTTATAAATTTTTCACAAAATTGCTAAATATGACTATGATATTATTTAATCTTTTATTCATAAAAGTTATTGTGAGAATCTGAATTAATTTAATTATATGAATAGGCTTAGTTATCAAAATTTTCTAGAATAAATCAGTAATTAAAGCTAAAATTTTCTTGTACTTTAAAAGAATTATATAGTATCTCAATTGCCTCACTAATTTTATTTACTTTAAATAACAATTTGATTTTTGTTAAAAATGAAGTGATGAAAGGATTGCTGATGCTTTAAATAAAGTTAAATAAGCATTAATATTTCTTACTTATTTCAATCTGTTTATCAAAGATTAAAGAAATTGGAATAAAATAAAAGGTTGATTAAATAATACATTCCACTTCATAGTGTATTAAAATGGTATTACAAGATTTTCTTTAATAAGTTTACCTACTTGATTAACTTTAGGAATCTATTTTAGGAAATGTGGCTATAATCAGATGAATATTTTTGAAATTCATAGACATTTTAGTTAATATATATAGACTTTAGAACAGTTTCTTAATAGCTATCTGCTATATAAAGAAGAATTATAATTAACTTTTTAATTAAGCTGTTTAATATCTAAGCTAGAAATATCATAGTCCAGTTTAAATTTGAGCAAATTTTTTGTATGATGTATGAAAATAGAACAATTATTTAGTAAACGGCTAATTGATGAGAGAATTAGATATAAAGAAAAATAAATCTGAAGTACTTATCAGTGTAAATACATTTGACTTGAGTTTCTTTCGCAATTAAAACTAAGGCGAAATGGCTGAGATTTCTAGTATAGGAGTTACCATCTAGGGCTTATTTGGAGAAACTAGAAATGTAATCCCTAATACTTGGAGGAGGAATATATTAATCAGTTTAAATATGATAAGAGAGAAACCTTAGGTAAATCATTACATAAAATAATTCTTCTATAATTAATTAGTTGGATCAAGCATATCGTTTACTTTTTTCAATTTCTTTTGTCAATTGCAACTAATTCGAAAATTGTTATTTGATGGTAATTTTAGCACAAAATTTAATATTTATCATTATTATATGATTTTAATATAATTATAAAATAATTTCATGAGAATTTAGGAAATCTTACTCATTTTTGACATCCACTTTCTAATCTTTAACAATTTTTTTAACTCCGGTTTAAAACTATTCACTATAAGGTACATTTTATCTAGTATGATCATTGAAATCTTTTGCTAGCATTTCTCTCAAAACTTGCAATTTTAAGAAAGTGAATTCATAATCATCATGCATTAATTTAACACTTCCTAAACTAATTTGATGTTAATATATCGAAAATTCTTTAAATAAAGATTCTACTACATGCTAATGAATTAAATAATTTATTTATTATAGTATATTCAAATTAACCAATTTCCTTTCCTTACTTTCTAATTTATCAAGAGTCTTGTTTTGTTGAATTTCTGGATGTGCCAATACTACTTTAGAAACTTTCTTTTATTTTTGATTGGTCTTTGGTTGTTGAATAATATGATTCATAATTTAATTAATTAAATATGATGATCAATATCAACGTATTATTATATAAAATTATTATTAATCTATTTTTTAATATATCTGTCCAATTAATTTCATATTATATAACAGAGTTATTCATAGAAATTCTGTTATATGGATTTTTCTTATAATAAAATACACATTTTAGTGAATTTTAAAAGTTGAAATTAAAAACGTTAACTTCCTATCCAGAAAATTAATGAAAAATTTTAAATTAAGAAGCATATTTATTAGTTTTATTTACTTACTTAAATTTTATTATCATAAATTTATTATTATTATTAAACTCTTATTAAGAATCTAGACATGCAATATTATAATCAAAATTATTTTTTCCCTATTTATTCTTCCTTTATTAAATTTTTTATACGCAGAATCCAGGTATAATGCTTAACCAAAGAGCGTATTACCGCGTCTCCCTCAAGTCAAAAGTTTAAATGATATCAGAATTTGTCAGAAAATTAAAAATTTTGATTATAATTCTTCCCAGTAAATAACATCTTAACCAAAATTCCTTGTCTTTTTAAAGAAACAAGACTGTAGTTAGCACCAGTTAGACTATCGGTGCCTGTGGATCATCAAGTACCTATTCTCATACTACCCTGATCATCTTTGCAAATCTTATACTTATATGGATAAGAAATTTAAGAAGGAAATAATAATATTTATTAACAAAATAATTAACAAACAAATATTTAAGTTCAGTACTAGTATCATAAAAAAGTATTATAGATTAGTTATGTAATCTAGATTATTTACATTTATTATGCATAGCATTATCTTTGATGTTTTGCTATTTCTGTTATTATAAATTTACCAATAAACTATAACTCTGCACCAATCTTAATTGAAAATTTATCTGATTTTTCTAATTAAAAAACAATCATCTTGCAAAATAAAAGTCCAACTCTGAAATCATTCCCTTTTAAAATTTGAATTATTTTGACTACATAATTTTGAAAAAGCTTAATTAATAATTCATTAATAAATTTAAATATTTACTTGTCCCAATTTAGCATATATTTTACAATATTATAATTGGCTTATGAATTTATTCATTAACAATAATGCTTCTTTATAAATATTTGTAATATTTGGTTGAGAAATGACATCATTCGAAATCAATATATTTTGAAAAAAGTAACATTTTTATTATTTTGATTCGTTTAAAAAAATATTCAGATTAATTAATATTTTTTATAATATTAAGGACAAATTTTTATTGACCTATTAAAATAATCTATCACATTTCTAAATAGTGAATTAAAAAACATTAGTTAATTTCCATAACAGAATATTTAATTCTCTTACAAATTAAGATTAAAGTTTTTTCTTAAGATAAGAATTTAGATAAATTTTAATACATCACAACAACAACAATTTATCATAATTTCGTATTCATTATATGCATAAATCAAGTATTATATCCAAGCATTAATCATATTATTCTCATTTTCAAAAGAAAAATTAATTTTTTGATTAAATTTTTATTATACATTAAAATTTTTTATAAATATACTAATTCAAAAATATGATTCCAAGAACATTTTTTTGTTTAAGAAATACTTAAATTTTTGTCTTTTTTTATGTAATTGTAAAGAATTTATGATAGCAAGTCTATTATAAAACATTATTTATTTTCTAAGAACATTTTCATGTTTTAATTTGCTCATACCAAATCTAATATAATAGATTTTAACTCTATAACTAAAATTTTCAATAAAATCTAATTTTAGCTAATAAATATCAGAACCTCAGCACCTTATTTGAACAATAAAAAACTAATTGGAGCTGAACTCTGCTTTGCAAAATAATTTTCATGTACCCAAAATGTAATACTCTCAGGTTAAATTGCTTATTAAGTAGCTATTCAATTTTGAATTGAAAATTCAAATGATGAATTTAAGACTTACTTTTTCAAATTGATTTTGATATTTTGTCTAAATATTCACCTTACTTGATTAATATCTGATAGTTAACTTTAAGAAACTGAGTTATAGAATCAATTATTTTGAATAATACTAAATTCTAAACAATTTTAAGTAATTTTTTTTACAAAAATTTTCAAATTTATACCACAAGTTGATTATTGAAAATTCATATTCAATATTTTGTTATTCTTTTTCATAACTTTAGGGTTATATCATTTCCAATTTGATTGTTTCTTTTAAAATATAATTAAAATAAGGCTACTTTTAATTTAATACATTACTTTTTCAGAGAGGGAACTTGCTTAAATGTTTCTAACAACTTCATAATTAATTCTGCAACTATATGATAAATTTTCATTGATATCAAATATAAAATAAGTGTCTGCTTAAAAGCATTTGGTAGATGAATTGAATTTACTATATTTCTTTTTTCAGTTTCTTCTAATTTCATCAATAACTATTCAATATAAAATAATCCCAAATCCAGAAATACATAATAAGAATAATTTATCAAAATATTTGAATTATTTTATTTTAAACCAAAAATAAAAAATATGAGATTAATTAAGACACAATTTTAGATTAGTTAGTATGAAGAAAAGGCAACTTCTGATAAAGATACTGATAATAAATTTATTTAAAATATATCTTCTTCGAATTCTATAAAATATAGATTACTAAATGAATTATTTGATATTAAATATTTTCACCTCAGTTCTTAAAGAAGTTATATATATCTAAATGTTTTTTTACATTAAGGAATTGAGTTTTAGTTTGATTGATTAAATCAAAAAAAGTTTATGTTTTGCTATACTGCAATATCTCAAGATTTAATTAATTGTGAAAGTATAGTAGTATAGTCTAAAAATTATGATTCTGGTCTTTTGACTTAAAATTTGACTTAATCAATACATTTTAGTAAATCAATATCAATATTTTATAAGTGATATTCCAAAAAAAATGCATCGTTGATGAAATACAGATTATTTTTTTCAGATCAAGAAGCTAACAAATGGATGGATTGCTATTATCCACTCTATTATTAGGATTTCTGACTTCTCATAAAATTATATAACCACAATCCATAAAATATAATAAATTGAAAAAGATATTAACATTTTCCATCCTGAAAACTATTCAACATTTTCAGGATGGAAAAGTACAGATCTCGATTTATATATTATTTGACTTTCGATTTCTATTAGATAATTTATTTTTCAACCTTATAAATTAATATATTAATAAATAAATTCATATTAAATACTTGTAAAATTGATAATTTTATTTGTCTCTTAGTATTAAAAGGTTGGATTAATTTATATTCATATTTTTTAAATAAAATTCTATATCTTACCTATTGATTAAATAAATTTAATGTAAAAATTTACTTGTAGCAACACTAATATCATACTTATATATAATTGACTTAAAGTCGTTACTATTTTTAAGAACTAAGATTTAATTTCCTGTCAAATAGCTAGTCTTTTTCTCAAATAAAGTTTTAGTATTTTATATTTGATGAATATTTTTACATTTGCAATCAGCATATTTGTGAAAATAACTTATTCATTCAATACTTTTTCATTTTTAGATAAACTCCTTAAAAACTAATTTCATTTATTTTAATTTTTGTTTCTATGAAGATAAATAAATCATATATCAATTAATTTTAACATTTTAATTAAATGATTAAACCAAAAACGATATAAAATTAAAATGATTTTTATTGTTAAAAAAAAACATAATTAAATATGAATTAGATTGCTTCATTAAGAGTGAGAATAATAATTATATTTCAAATATTACATTTATCAATAATATCAATAGAACTTGGAAGACTAACCTATATAATAACTTAAAATTTATATCTTCAAGATAAAGATAAATTTTACTGTAAAGAGATTAAGTAAAGATTTTTTAACAACACAAATTTGCCAACAAAAAAATAAAATCAAATTAAAGTTAATTGATTCATCTGTTAAATAAAGAACGGAATGTAATGAGATAGATTTTGATTCTTCTGCGTAAATTATGGTATTAACATAAAAGTATAATATTAAAGTATGGAGCTTTTGAACTGGAACAATTAAATTAATAAAAAATTTGTAAGGGCATGCTGATTGGATTAATATTTTAGCTTATAGTTAAAGATAGAAAACTACTTTTTTTCTGGTGGGCAAGACAAGGCAATAAGATGCTGGCAATAATAGAACTTAATTGATTGGATTAGTTCATAATCTTATCAGTAACATACTGATTATGTAATGTGTATACTATTGAATTCAAATGAGGATTTACTATTTTCTGGAACTATGGAAGGTTGATTTTAATAAAAAAATATTCACATACATGTATTGATTAGATAAACATGATAATTATGTTATTGCATTAAGTTTAAATTAATCAGAAACATAATTAGTATCATGTGCAAGTAGTGATAAATTAATTATTATTTTGGAAAAAAGAGAATATGATGAGTTTGAATTCAAATATTTTGTTAAATAAACAATTTCAGACTTTGGATTTAAGATTAAGTTTATTAAAGACAATTAATTTATTGGATAACTAGTGGTAAAGAAATAGTTAATCTCTTTATATTTGAATTAAAAGAAGGATAATTTTAAGAAAATTAAGAGAATACAATTAAATAATTAGATATTAAATTATTATAGTTTTCCATTAGTTTATAATAAGGAAAGGAATTTAATAGTAGTAATATATAAAACTTATTTTGATATCATTCGAGAAATGAATTAAGGGAAGTTCAAAATAGTTGATTAATTGAATTGTGAAACTTTCAGAATTTTTGGGATTATCGCAAATAATGGATAATATTTAGTCTATTGGGATGAAAAAAATGAGGGATATTCAACATAAGAATTATTTAATAATTGAATAATTATGATATAGTTTATTTTCTATTTTTCAAAGAATTTTTAATATGGAAAATTGTATAGTTAGATTAATAAATAAGAACTCAAATATATAAGTAATAATTGTAGATTTCTTAGAATTCTAGTTATACATTAGTAGATTAGGATTTAAGTTGAAGTACAAATTGAAATAAAATTCATTTATATATCAAAAAACTTTAACAGTACAAGTATAACAATAAATATGCATTCAAATTAAATCTAAAAATTTATTTATAGAGGACAGCATTTAACAATAGTAAAAATAAAAAATATTATAATTAAAGAATACTAATTACAAATGTTCATTCGCCTTTATACTCAGAAAACTGATAAAGAATTTAATTATCAGTTACATGAAAAGAATCATAAATGGTTAATATCATATTTCATACTAATAAATATTTGCTAAAAATAAATGAGATTGTAAAATTTAATATGAAAAATAGAAATATAAATATAAGTAATTAAAATTTTTGTAGTTAAAATAAATTTTTATAATATATTTAGGATAACTGTTGTTCTAAAGATTTAGTTGAAGAATTGAAATTTTATAAAAGTTTATGATGATTTCGATATGTTTTTTAGAGAATCATTGAAGTAAGGTAACAAAATACCAAATGATAAATTATTTGGATGTTGAATATATTTTAATAAATAAAAATGTTGAACTTGTCTATATGAGAATAAAAGAATGGGAGAAATTGCTTAATTTTTGTGGATTATATTAATTAATATTATAACAATATAAAATGGTTTTGGTTGAGAGATAGGTTTATTAAACATATTTAATAACAATTTAAGGTATGGAGATTATCAAGATGGTAAGTATATATAGAAAGGTGGAAGGCTGATCAGAAATCATTAAAATATGTTATTAAATTATAAATAGTTTTTGTAAATGGGATATTTTATATAGGTGAGGAAAGGTTTGATTAGAGGTAAAGATGAAAAAAAATTAGTTTTAGATGTAAAAATATAAGAACTTAAAATGATATAATAATTTACATTTCTGATTTTTTAAACCATGTTCAGCATAAGAGATTTTAGATGATATTACTGTTTTTATAAGCAATCTAATCCAAATTTCTATGATTATCTTTAGAAAAGCTTAACTGGAAAACAAACAATTAAAGATGAGACATGTTCTAATTACGAAATTTAAGTAAATACCAAGGAAATTAATATAGTTTTAGATTAGATTTTACTAGATTGCTAAAATCACAAAGTATCAATATTAATAATGTAATTTAAGATATCTAATAGCATGAATTTTGTTATGCTTATATTAATACCCAAATATTGTTAGCTGCTTGGTTCTCAAATGAGATCATATTATTGGAATTTAAGTTGTTAAATATATTCAAATCTAAAATTAAAACAATAATCTGATTATATTGTAACTACTTGAATTATATTTAGTAAAAAGAGTAATATTTATAATGGATCCTTAAATATTTTGAAGTAGATCATAGAATAATATTGGCAAAAAGATCCATTTATGATATTCATGAAGGATTAATTAGATGTTTAATTTTAAATAATAACTAAGATTAAATCATAAAATATTTTGGATAACTTAATTATTGTTTAGAATGCTAATGAATTTTCTTTATCTTACTCACTAAAGATTCATTATAAAACTGTTTTTAGTATTAGTCTTAATGTGACTGTATCTTCTCGTTTATATTCTTATTTATTATTTGAAAAGAATTCTAATATACTTTTTGAATTTAAGTATCGAATAAAATAATCAATATTTATTGATGAATCTAAAAATTGAATTTTAATAGTTGGTTTTGCAAATGAAATCACTAAAAGTTAAACTAATCTACTTGTAATTATCTGTATATAGTATATTTATTAAAATAAACATCAAAAAATATTGCTGAGTATTAGGAATCAAGATCTCCAAAAAAAAATACAATAGATTTAAAAACCATAAAAGTTTGGTTGATACTCTATAAGACACATAAAACTTAAGGAAATAAAAAACTTTATAAGAAACTCATGGTAGCCAATTTTAAATTTGAACTAACTTTTTATTAAAATCCTCTACCTTTAAGATTACATTATAATTATTTAAAATTCTACAACATTAACTTAGTATTTATATTTTTTAAGATAAAGTCATTATATAAGTAAAGGGCACATTTACACAAGCATTTGTTTGTATTATCCCTTAGTAAAAATATATCCTAGATTCAATATTTATTTATTTTTTATATGTTACTATCTTTTATACGATAATTCATAGTATTCAGATAGCCATGAATTCTCTTAATATTTGATCTAAACTTTAACTATCTACATTACATTATTCTTTGAGTAATTTGAAATATAATATATTCTTAATTGTTTTAAAAGATCTGCTAAAATAACTTTTTTAAATTTTAATTGATTTGTATTTAGATTTATTCATATTTTTTTTAGATTTTTATATTTTTGATAAAATATTTCCTAATGCTTTTACATCTTTATATTTCTATTTATAATTCTAATAATAATATTAATTATCTAATGAAAACAATAAATTAATTTAATAATGAATATTAATTTAAATTATAATAATAATTCATTCTTCATCATATTTTCTAATTTAAATTGCCTTAGAATCGTAATCCCAAGTTATTAAATACTCTCCATTTTCACTCATCTATCCAAATATATAATAATGTTTAAATTCAATAGATTATTATGTTATAAAATCTCCATTTTGGTTCTTCCTTATCAAATTAACATTTTAACCATTCTTATTCACAAATAGGCATTTCGACTTGATATATTATTAAGGAAACCAGTAATAACATGAATTGTTACCGCATTTAACAGCAATTTCTTTTGTCTTTGAGTACTATTTATTATTGTTATTCAACTCATAAACATGCATCTTCTCTTAATGATAAGGTTGGAATATGAATAAATTATCAATGATAAAGCATAATCTTAAACCCCACTCATCAACTATTATCTATTATATTATACTCCACTTTTAATCCTATGATGACTGTTCTATTATTAATATTAACTTATCTTTATCACAAGATATCACTCTATTCTATTTCTCATTCAGACTTAATCCTAATACATCATCTGTATGATCTGTTATTGTTTATGAACATATCCATTCATTCTACTTTATCCAAAATTTAATTGATTTATCATTACTTCCTGATATTATAATATCTTCATTATTGTTCAATAATAAACAATTAATCAAATCTTTATGTTCATTCAATTTCTATGAGCAGATCCATTAATTATGTTAATCCATAGACCATATAATAATCGAATTATCAGAACTTCCAGATATAAATTGATTTGATTTCTTCATAAAGTTTAAGGTTGTAACATTACTTTAATGATCACTTAGAAGTTAAATTTGTATTAATTATTCTTATTTAAATTCAAATATTTTGATCTTACTATCACATCCAGCTAATACAATTGAATTATCTTAATTAATAGCAATTGCATAACAGTATTCCCATTATTGAATGTAATATTTCTATATTAAATTATAATTGAATCGTTTGAGATTTGATTAATGATGGTTGTCTTATATTATTTGGTTCTATTGTTGTATTTGTTTGGTTTATTACTAAATGAGTTATTATTAAAGGCAATCTAAATTTTCTTGTTATTATTTAATTTGCTTATAAAAAGTTAAATTGATTATAGGTTTCACTTCTTCAATTAATTAATTAATTAATGGTTGTATAGAAGGCTGAAATAGCTATATTACTGGTAGGGCCAAATTTAGATTCTTTATTGGAACATATGGATAAGGATCAAGCAGAAGTTAATCAAGGTAAGAATCAATTTTGTCATAAGAGCACTATCATTTATATAATTCAATATCTTACATCTAAATATTATTAAACACCTTAAAGACATTCTTCTACTTTATTTTGATATTTGCCAATAATTTCTCCACTATTCATTTAAATAATTATTAATATATTTTACTTCAATTTATTTCTTTCTACTAACAATAATACAATATTACGTTAATAATAAATGATTTATATTGCATTTTTAAAACTTATTTATAATGAGAAATCCAGAAATTACCAGATAATAAAATAATATTGATTCAATTATTTAGAAGAATTCTCTGGTTTACTTTCTTTATTAGGGAAAGATTGAAAGTAAATCTAATAATTATTATGATATTGACTAATTGTGATACGTGCTTTTGAAAGGTCAATCAAGCAAATATGGCTAAAGATGAGAGAAATCTGATTTTTTAAAGAGTTACTTTATATTCTGAGCAGAATGAACATTGAGATTTTTGGAATAAAATGATAAAAGAGGAAACTGTGTTGTCTGATTAAAGGTTTAGAGATAAATTTGTTTACATCTAAATTAAGTAGAGTCTATATTTGATATAGTTCTGGAATTATTTTTATTTTATTTATTCTTAACTCATGATATTTTCGTTTATACTTTAAGTAATTAATTAAATAAACGAAAAAGTTGATTTAAATGTTAATAATATCCAAGCCTCAATTTTATTTAATTATTTATTAAGATACTAAGTATACATTTTTTACTTATGAAATAATTAATAATCATAATAAAACTATTTATTAGTTTAATTATAACCTTAGTAAACCTTCTTAATTTTTATCCTGACAAATTTCAGATGAAAATGGTCTATTTGGTTTATAAAAAAAAATAAATAGCTAAGCTAATTTTTATTAATTATTATTAATTTTGAGAACATAAATATTGAATTGTACTATTTATTTATTTGAGCCACTTAAGATTGATTATTTTTCAATTTTAAAGTTCTTAAATTAAAAAAGATAAATAACTTTAAACTTATTACTTAACTATTAGAAAAAAAAATAGTTCTAAAATTTTTTTTGTGTATTTGAATTATTTTTAACACTAATGTCGCAGATACTTATATATTGTCAATTAAATAAATCTCAAATTACTACTAAAGTAGATGTATCACTTCAGATAAAATAAAACTATTTTAAACAAATAACTTTTTTAGATATTTAATTATCAATTAGATTCATTAGTTTATGGTACAGATTCTATCAAAATTTATTAAAGATGGATACTGGTTGTGGTGCTTTATCTCCTAAAGATGCTCTTTGGTTAACTGAGTTTAATTGATCTTGTGAGGATGAGAAGATCTTAGGGGTTCAATACTTATGGCCATGTACTATCAATCTCCTTTTGTCCTGTTTGTAGCAGACTTTTAAAGCCATGCTGATATTCAATCTTTAAATTCTAGGTTTTTTTCTCCTGTCTATGGTCGTATTCCCTTAATATTTAATTTACTTGGTATAACAATATAGAATAATTTTAATTTTTAATAGCCAACCTATCTTATTTTTAGTGTAATTTTAATTTGGGAACAGATATATTGACTGATTCACCAAAGAAATATTCTCTTCTATATTGAACGAGGATCAAAATTATATCCCATAGTATAGATTCTGCAAAAATGTGGACTTTTTTCTTGTATACCTCAATCCATTTAGTAGAACATGTAAAATATTATTGCAAAAACAGAACCTTTGCCAATTACCTTGGCAATCGAAATTCAAATTAAAAATTCCATTCAACTATATATGGATTCAATATGTTTAAAAAATCCATTGATCATCTGATGGCTTATATATCTGATAATCATTTTATGTAAATAATAGCATTAGATTAAGGTCTTAATAATTTTTATAAAATTGGAATATTTAATTGAGAAGAGTAGTTTATATGAGAACAATCTTAAAATCTACTATCTTCTTCTCCATATTATTCGTTTATTTCTAAATAATAATTAATCAAAATTACTTTGGAATGAAATTATATTGCTTGTATTACTATTTTACTAGATAAATTTACAATAGTTAGTAACCGATACGCTATCATAACAAAAATAGCTAATTGTTCCAAGGATTAAATTTCCAAATAATGTAGATAATTTCTAAATTATGAAATTTTTCTAATGTAGTTTAAATATGACATGTGATTCTTGAAAATATAGAAAGTCATTAGCATCTAAATTAAACACAATAATTAACTATTTGAGAATAAAAAATAATTAGATTGTAATTTAATAATAAATATGTAATTAAATAAAAAATTTAATAAGATATAAATTTTGAATATTAGATAATTAATTGAATTAAATATCATTGTATTGCCTTGAGTTAGTATTCAAACCTAAAAATATAAATAAATTCGGGAACAATTTTTATTGATTTAAAAGATATAAGGATTAAATAAAAGAATATAAAATATAATCTAACTTATACAAAAAAAAATGAGTAACTTTAAAATATTGAAAATATAATACTTAAGTCTAATCTTTTAGCTCAATAAAGATAAAAATAATCAATTTAGTTATTAAAAAAGACAAAATTAATATGCTGAAGATTAAGGTTATTAATAATTTTGTCAAAGCATGGATATTAAATGAAGAGGGATTCGAATGATGTTAATGAAACTTAAGCATAATAGGGGTTACATTATTCCTTTTTCAGTTAAGTTAAATATCAGAAGTAAGGTGATTGGGAAAATAAAGTCAGGTAATAAGAGGATAAGGTCTGCCATAATAAATATCTATTGTATTCTAGGATAACAAAAGTGGGTGAAAGCTTGGATGTGGGAAAGATTTAGTTTCATCAGATTTGCTATCAATGGATTATTTAATATAAACATCTAGGATTTGGAAACTCTATAAAAAGTAAATAATATGACATCAAAAAATTTTATTTAAGAATTTCTTTTAGAATATTCTAATAGATAATTGAATAAAAACCAATAGTATCCAACCAGATACTACTTTCGATTAATAGTTACAATTTCCTTATATTACTACGGCAAATCGTAAGGACATACAAAATTTTTGGTTGTCATCTCTGTNATCAAAATTACTTTGGAATGAAATTATATTGCTTGTATTACTATTTTACTAGATAAATTTACAATAGTTAGTAACCGATACGCTATCATAACAAAAATAGCTAATTGTTCCAAGGATTAAATTTCCAAATAATGTAGATAATTTCTAAATTATGAAATTTTTCTAATGTAGTTTAAATATGACATGTGATTCTTGAAAATATAGAAAGTCATTAGCATCTAAATTAAACACAATAATTAACTATTTGAGAATAAAAAATAATTAGATTGTAATTTAATAATAAATATGTAATTAAATAAAAAATTTAATAAGATATAAATTTTGAATATTAGATAATTAATTGAATTAAATATCATTGTATTGCCTTGAGTTAGTATTCAAACCTAAAAATATAAATAAATTCGGGAACAATTTTTATTGATTTAAAAGATATAAGGATTAAATAAAAGAATATAAAATATAATCTAACTTATACAAAAAAAAATGAGTAACTTTAAAATATTGAAAATATAATACTTAAGTCTAATCTTTTAGCTCAATAAAGATAAAAATAATCAATTTAGTTATTAAAAAAGACAAAATTAATATGCTGAAGATTAAGGTTATTAATAATTTTGTCAAAGCATGGATATTAAATGAAGAGGGATTCGAATGATGTTAATGAAACTTAAGCATAATAGGGGTTACATTATTCCTTTTTCAGTTAAGTTAAATATCAGAAGTAAGGTGATTGGGAAAATAAAGTCAGGTAATAAGAGGATAAGGTCTGCCATAATAAATATCTATTGTATTCTAGGATAACAAAAGTGGGTGAAAGCTTGGATGTGGGAAAGATTTAGTTTCATCAGATTTGCTATCAATGGATTATTTAATATAAACATCTAGGATTTGGAAACTCTATAAAAAGTAAATAATATGACATCAAAAAATTTTATTTAAGAATTTCTTTTAGAATATTCTAATAGATAATTGAATAAAAACCAATAGTATCCAACCAGATACTACTTTCGATTAATAGTTACAATTTCCTTATATTACTACGGCAAATCGTAAGGACATACAAAATTTTTGGTTGTCATCTCTGTATATTATTTTGGAATCAAACCCATCTTAAATGATTTTGATATCTAATTCAAAATTCATTTATTACTAGGATTACTATTAAAAATTAATAAATTCATTTAATTATTGTTTTTTAGAGGAAGTCTTTTGTTTAAGGAGAGAATACAAATAGTCTCTCAAAATATCAAAATTAGATAAAAAGAAATTCTTTTTTTAAAAATTTAATAAGATAAATTAATAAAATATAAATACTATTTCTCCTAAGAAATTCATAGAAAAATTAATTAAACTCACAAAATAAAATCCTAAAAAAAGGAAAATAGTAATATTGATTACATGATTTTAGAGTAGTTTTTAAGTATAATATTAATGATAAAATAAACTTATTTCTTACCACCCTTTTATATCACCAAACAATATACTAGACAATATTTAATAATATTATTATTCTCTTAAAGTCTGATTGCTCAAAAGAATCATTATTAACATCGATATTTAAATATTTAAAAAAAATTATCTCCCTCTTTCTATTATGTTTCTAAGCATAATACAGATTTTATATGATGTTTTTGAAATCAAATTAATTTTTGGAAATTAACTATTAGATCTTTTTAAATTTATATATGATTAATTTTTTAGTTTCAGCATAGTCTTAAAGGCTAATCAGAGAATTATCAAATAAATACTTGTCTAATCTATTATAGGCCTGATTTTCTAATGATTTTATTAAATTCTGAATCATCTTTATCTATTATTTATTAAATAAATTTATTTGATTTTTTAAGATTTTTATTTCTGATTTAAATATTTCTTTGATCTAAGATTTAGATGATTATGGTCTTGATCTATTTAATTAAATGACCTATTTTATTTCAATTTACAATTTTTATTAAATTATTATTTTTTCAAAATAGTCATCACATTAATTTTTGGAAATCATAATTATTTTCCAAAAACTTTAAATCTAATAGATAATATTCATTGATCAATAGTCAAATTTAATATCAAATTTTTTATCCATAATGAAAAAGAAAACATCAAACTAATATTTTATTTTCAGCAATGCATTCTGATGAAATCAATTAGTATACAAAAAATTAATCCATAATCTCAAGAATATTCTTGAAAAATTACATTTTAGATAAGAGCTAATGTATCATAACTTAAACAATTTTTTGATTTATTATATTATATAATATATAAAAAAATAATTTTATAAATACATTATCTTAATTTCAGATGTATTCATAATAGAATTTAATACCTAAATTATTGATAGCTTTTACATATTTCTAAATTATCTTATCTTTTTATCATCTATTTTAATCTCATTCCAGCTCCCAACCTTTTTATTATTTTTGTATACTCCCTTGTAAGTGATTTTAGAGTTTCTAATAATAAAATCTAAACTTACTAAAAAAAATTATCGCTCAACTCAATCCATTTACCAATCTTTTCTCCATTTCCTTATTTATCATAAGATCCACCACCTCTATTTACATAAATTTTTATTTGCTACATCTACATATACTTCTCTAATTTATTTTCCCTCCAATAATAATCCCATCTACCAACTTTATTGCCATTTCTATAATCCCCTTCAAATGTTATTACTTAACCTTCACTAAAATAATAGTATTTTATAAATACGATCTGAAATTGTCACTTTACTCAATCCAATTCCCTATTTTTACACCATATCCTTTTTCATCATATGATCCACCACCACTATAATTATAAATGTAAAATATAATATGAAATATCATACATCTATTAGAATGGAGAAATATAATCACATCTCCATTGCGTATCCCAACTACCAACTTTATTACCACAATAATATTCACCTCTAAATATCACTTAATAATCACTAATGTTAATTATTTAATAATATTCATTTACCTTCTAAAACCATCATTCAACTCAATCCATCTCCCTACTTTAATATTACCTCCATTTTCATCATAATTTCCACCACCACTAATTATGTGTATAAGATATTAAATATTATAAAATTTACATTTTGATAATATTTTTATCCCAAAACTAATAAGTATCCCACAAACCAACTTTTTCTTAATTTTTATAGTTGCCAATTAGAATTATTAAACTTCTTCTAAATAAATAGTATTCGAAATTAAGATTTACCTCCAAGATCCTTCTCTCATTTCAATCCATTTTCCTACCTTTGTACCTCTTTCTTGATCATCAAATAATCCAGTTCCACTATAATTATAGCCTTAACTATTAATATTTTACATTAATAAGGTCTATTATTCTCCAACATTATTATTATAATAGATATTCCAAAAACCTACTTTAATACCATTTTTATATTCACCTCTAAGAGTGATATAACTTTGCCTATTTTATAATAAATTAATCATATACTCCCAAAAGTTATCATTTATATCAATCCATTTTCCAATTTTTTAACCTGATTCATTATAAAATCCACCCCCACTATAAAATATGTTAAACATAACTCTTACATTTAATGATTATTATATATATATTTCCATTATCCTATTCTGTAACCATTTTAGTATTCTCCAATTTCATAGACTTAAGCCTTACTAAATTATAATAATTATAAATTAAAACACACCTCCAATAATTCTTTATTAATTCTTTCCATAATCCTACCTTTTATCCATTATCTTTTTCCGAGTACCATCCACCAACGTTTTCCAAAATTTCTCCCTTCCAAGTAACAGTCCACTTACCTACTTTCTTTAAATTCTCTCCATATTCTCCTTACCAATTAAGATATTTAATCTACTCTAATTTAGTTAATATTTCTGGTTTTTTTGAAGTGTCTTTAATATAATCTCTTTGATTAAGTTGAATAAAACTTACATTCTAAGAATTGATCCTTCAATATTTGTATATTTGATTTCTTAATTAGAAGTTATGTTAATATAGAATTAAGTTTTTAAAAAACGAGAATTATAACAATCCCAAACATAATCTTCATAAATTGTATTACTCTCTTACATTATCTTTCCCTCCTCAATTTTTTATCCTTCTTTTAATCTACAAATATAAATAAGAATTTATTTACATTTATTCATTATTTTTTTGCTGTTCTTAGGAGTATGAATTTTTTTGCCTATTTCCCATTATTATTATTTAAAATTATTACTTTTGGAATCAAACAGAATTCAAAAAATTAAATTTCTTTTTGTAAAATTAATTTTTATATTATTTTATCATCTTTAAATCCCGATTATTCTATCTTAAAAAACAAATCTAAGCAGCTTTAGGATTTATTGTTTATAAAAATCAAGCATAAGAGTTTCTAGGATTATTAAAGTATATATAGAATAGTATAAAATTTGTAAGCGAAAAAATTCCAAAATATAACCCAAAAGGTTGTTAATAAAGAAGAGATTACTTTAAACTTTAAAAATATAATAAATTTTTTGAATATTATGAATATAATAAGTATCAATTACTAATATCATAATTGAAATATAAATAAAATAGAGTTGTAAGCTTATTACTTAAATCATTATTATGAATAATTAAATATTTTCATTATATAATTAAAAACATTTTTTTGATATGTTTAAAGGCATATGATTTAAGATTATGTAAAAATTTGGAGTATCTTTGATATTTGAAAGCTGCTAGTCAAAGATAAAAAATTGTAGATCAAATCTATCTAGGCGTATCTATTTGAAGTTCCAGCAATAGAAATTTAATAATATCAATATAACTCTTAAAATATAATTACTATTAGATCTTACTTAGGAATTAATGAGTATTATTTTTTTAAAATTGCTTTCCATTCATCAAATTTCGTTAATAATTTATTTTAACTAGAATAAATTGAAATTATGAAACTGTTTAACACAATTAATAAAATAAAATATTTCTTACAAAAATAATCTTCATATAGATAATATCCAAAAATATGAGATGATCATTATGAATTTTCAAATAATCATTTAGGAATGATTACATGAAAATATTCATAAAAATAGTAGCATTCTGAATTACATAAGTAATTGACAAAAGAGAGCAAGAATTATACTAAATTACTAAATATTGTGTTTCATTATATTAGGCTAAAGATTATAAAAGCCTTTTTTAAGTTTTATAATTTAGGAAAAAATACTCACTATAATATTCAAATGGAAACTTCAATAATTTCTAATTGCAGAAATAACTTTTAGTATGAAGAATTAAGTATAAAATGTTTCAATTTATAATTAAATTTTAATTAAAAACTAACACATGATCAAACAATAAAAAAGTATAATTTGTGTAGATGATTATAGAAATGATTCTTCTCAGTTCTATTTAAATAAATTTAGTAAAGGCGATATTTTTTTAAGAATAAAAGAGATCCTTAAAAATTTATGAATAAATGTTAGAGATTTTCATTTTAAGTTAATCTAATTTAAAAGAAAATTCTTTTTCAATATATATATGAAAAATTAAATTAATTTTCATTTGAGATTGAAATAATTTTATCAAGTTTTATTTCAAATTAATGAAGTTAAACATTATTTAAAAATAAATCATTACAACATATCATCTAATCTGTTAAGGCATTTTATGAACTAATTTTCAAAAACTTTAAACATGAAATTAAAAGAATACTCAACATATTATTTTAAAGTTTCTTTCTTAATATTATGTTTTCAAACTTAAAAATTACATTTAAAAATAAATAAACTATTTAATAATACATATTTTTGTAGAGCCTATTACTCATACTTTGCCCAAAGATATTTCTGACTATCATTTTAGATATACTAAAAAGTAAACTTAAATTGAACTCCTGAAAAAGTTTCATAACAGCCTTAGAATAAGAGATGAAAATTGGTCTTATCAATCTGGTTTAGAAGAGCACAAATCACTTTTTGTATTTTTAGATCCAACCTTATGATGAATTAAGATTATTTTTTAATCTAAGAAATAATATAAGAATTCATTATGTAATTGAAAATTAAATTTAATAGATTCGCATTATGCATTTGTTTAAATCATTAGATGCTGTAAAAACTATAATTGGATAATCATAACCAAAATAATAATATAGGTATATATTTTATTTATTATTAAGCTTTATATCAAATGATTATGCTGCTGAAATTACTTTAATGCACGGCTCTATTAGCTTATTTTTAATGTAAATCATTCACAAATTAAGAAAAATACTCTAAAATAATCTGAGATAAAACTTTAGTTTATAAGCACAAATATTAAATAAGGAAAAAGCAATAGTGTCTTTTTTCATGATGAACTGGCACATATCTATTTTTAATCTTAGATTTCAGAATACCAGACAAATTCTTAACTTGATGAACTGAAATTACAAATGTGGATTTTATCAAGAGATGAAAAAATGGATTTAGATAGTATTCATTAATTTAATAGAGATCTAACCTTTGAGGCGATACTTAATCATTTTATAAGATGTGTCAAATATTAGTTTTCTTTTCTCTTTTCAATTATAATTAAAATAATAATATAAAGTATTTGGAATTTGTTTTATTCTATTTATATTAACATTTTTAGATTTAGTAAAAATCCTAACTTCAATCATTACTAACAGATCAGTATAATTAAATAGACTAAATAAAATTTTTAAATTAAAAATTCAGGAAACCAAAAAAATAAGTATGCTTTTCATAAAAAAAGAATCTATTTTCAGATATATCAGCAATTTATCACAAATTTAAGGTCCTCGACTTTTAATTTAAAATATTCTAATTAATTCAAATTTTAAAAGCATAACCTATGCTTGATTTAGCAGAAACTTCAGATTTTTAATAGTTGCTGGGTATAATATCTTTACTTTATTTAGATGGTAATGCAAATAATCTTACACTATTTATATAGATATAATTGCCTATTCGAATTATTTATTCTAAAAATTTTAGAGTATCACCAAATAGTGAAATTGTTACATATTTCAATAAAATTTATAAAATAGTAAAGGAAAAAATAGAAATTTTAACCTAAGTTATATTAAAGTATAATAAAATTTATTAATTAATTAACTTCATTACAAATTCGAAGTGAACCTCTTCCTTACGCCATAGTCTCTGCATTTGATATACTTTTAAATCTGAAATAAAAGAAAAGTCCAAAACAAAATAATACTATGTATAATGGAAAAATATATCCAAACAAATTAATAAATATCAACTACTAAAAGAATTACAAAAATTTTCATCTATAATTCTATATTTTTCTTAACTGCTTTAAAAAGGGATCTTTAGTTCCTACTCTTTGATGGACTCGATTAAGCTTAGCGTTGAAGACTATTATATTTTAATTTCATAATTTTCTTACTCCTAAAAAATATTTGAACTAATTTAATCACTTAAATGCAAAATATCCAAACATTTGTCGTTCAAGACAAGTATTAAACTTATTTTTTCAAATCACCCATTGGCAAAATTAATTTAATGTATTTGGAAGAAAGCATATTATCATTAGTGGTAACAATTAAAAAAAGAAAGAATACTAATTCATTATAAGACTCTTTTCATATTGATGGGAGATTTAAAAATTTTTAAATTAGCTAGAATTGTAGCTATTTATTCGTAATAAGAATCTATATAATATTTATTACCAGAATTCAAGGATCCTGATATGATAATTTTAAGCCTTTTAAAATTTATTGCAAAATTAATCTAATACAGTTTAAAAAAAAAAGATGAAAAAATTAAGCCTAATAATAATTCATAAGTCTGATCTAATAAAAAAATATTCAAACAATATAACAATCCTTTGAATAATCTAAAAATGAATTGCCCCTTAAGAATTAAATTAATGATTTCTTATTGATCTTATGTGCTTACTTTTGAAAGCCTTTCTAATTATACTTTCTTTTACATTTTTATTTTATCCATATTTGATAGTAAATGTTAATTTTATTTGATTCCAATAATCAATTACAAATCAATTCCATTTAGTTAATAGTAATAAAAAAGTAGATATAATTCCTATATAAATGTCTTTTTAATAAAATTATAATGAATATCTTAATATTGTACACAGAATTTCAATAATAAACAAATAAGCATAAAATTTAATAAAATAGTAGGAGAATTCAAAATAAAGTCCAATTTTTTCTCCAAAATAGGACCATAGTTATTCTATTGGCAAATTCCAATAATATCTAATAACAAAGACTTCTTCTGCTGTTTTTAATTCATTTATTATTGATGCAAATTCATTTAATATATAAATCTTTTTTTAATTGAATATAAAATTATTATTTGAATGTACTAGATATTTATAAAAGGCTGTCCATTCCACATCTGTAAAACTGACTTCATCATCATGCATTTCTATTTTTTTGTACTCTAATAATTCTGGATTCAATCCTCTTTGGTCTACTTTACTTGCCAACTTTTTAAAATTGATTTCTAACTACTTTATCATTACAAATAGTTTAAATAAGGTTAAAGATGATATTCACCAGGTCCCCATAATTTGCCACTTAATCTTAGAGATCTAAATTCATTATCCACAGGTTCTAATAATAGTTAGTCAGAAAAGCAATTGCATATTAAGGTTAATAGATCTTATGTATTAGTTTTAGTTTTATACCAAGCTCTACTTTAGGATAAGTATTCACTCTAACTATAAGCTATTTTAGAGATATATAATAAACCCTAGATATCAATATATATTGAATCAATAATATTAGCTAAGCTTCCTTAATTTCGGTTGATATGACCCTTACGATAATTTCTAAATTTTCTCAATGATGTTTGGGCTTGGGTGGTTAAAAATAATGTATAATTATAAAATTATACCTTATTACTATTTCTTGTAGATGAAATTCTTCTAAAACATCTTTTCTTATTAGAATAGCTACAAATTTTGGTTAAATAGGTTTTAGTTGAAAAAACTTTGGATAAATTGCATTTTAATATATTATTCATAAATTTCAACGAAACTTTCAATTTAATCGTATAGACTTTGTTTTTAATTATAGTATTTGAATAAGGTAGTAATGACTAATATAAAATTACAATAGAGTCAAGTAATTAACTTCGCCATTTAAAATAAATTCATATATTAAGTAAAAGTGTTCAACTAAATCTTATACTGTTATTTGAAAAATATAAGCTGTAGTTTCACCAATAAAAAATACAGAATAACAATAATAATATTAATGTGGCATCCTTTCTTTTTGACTGGAAAAATCCCTTGTAGTGCAAGGTTCCCATTCGACTTACATTAATGTTCTAGTGCTAACTTCCAGATTCAGAAAGCTCTACATCATAGTGGAATGATCATCATATTTTAATTCCATCATTGGTTTGAATTCCCATCAAACAAAATGAGGAACATGAACTTGCAGAATTAAGAAAACATGAGTTTACGACCATCTTATAATTAGAAAGTCCAGGTATTATTTCCTCCTTTAATGATAGCTTTCAATTAGAAGGCAGAAATAAATAGATCTTAAGGGAGGTTCACAAAAGTGTACTTATACTAACTAATTCCAAAGCCAGCTATGACAAAATCCTTATTTTCTGGTCATTTATGTGCAAATATTTGAATGACCTCCTGTTAGCTTACCCTTCTTTAGAGATAATCCTCCGTTTTTTTTCATGGTTCTAATCAAAGCGGAATCAATTGACTCTTTTGATATTACCAGGTTCAAACTCATATATTCCAGGATCACTCTCTCACGTTTGAGGTAAGTTTCAAATGCAATTTCTTTTAGCTAGATATATATTTATCTTCACTATAGTGTATCAGAAGATTAATGTGACGTATAAATGATGATTTAGTGTTAAAGTCTCTTTAAGGGTTAAACTTATCAACTATTCATTCCAAGTAAAGAACCATGAGCATTCATTATATTTGATAACTAGGTTTTCCTGAGTACTTGTTCTTGAGCTTATTTTTCAAGTTATTCCAATATTCCATCTACATTGATTTGGTTATGTCTGTTACTAATCCGACTCATGTTGTTCTCCAACAAAGTTAAAATCAAGTCTCATTTTTTTTATATTAACAAAGAGTTCTTCTTCTTTCTTCTCTACTGTCTCATTCCTTATTTGTTCTATAGGTATATTTTGATTTTATTTTAGTCTTCCACAATAAGAAGAAAATCATCTTTCTCTTCAGAATTTATCATCTCTTTTTTCCTTTGACATTTATTCTATAATCCTTCAAGTTTTTCCTGATGACTTTAATTTCATAGCCCTCTGGTGTATATATTTTAAAGAGTAGTTCAAGTGTACTTTCTTGAGCCATATATGATGGAGATCGAACTCCTCATCAAAAATTAAATGATAGGTTTCTTCTGGTTTATTAGGTTGATTGACTATGTAAAGTGTTTTAGAGGGGAATTCAGTTGCATAATGCATCACAATAAGAATATGACTTAAGAAAATTTCTTAGAAAAGTCTTAAGTTGGTTTATTTGGTGTATCAAATGAATTCTTGTATTTTCTGACTAATTTTAAATTCTTTTTTTTTATAAGATATTTAGGAAACACATCCATCTTCTTTATATGATCATTTTCACCTTGTAGTCAATAATCAAAGGGCTTTAAGAATCTTGTCTTTGGCCCATTTAATGTCGGTCTTATGTTGAATACAATTCTTTTTCATCAGGTCTTCTAAGTATTCTCTTGATCGAAATTTGGTAGGTTTGTCCATCCAGCAGTCAGTCATTCTCTTGATCATCCCTTCTTTGTTTAATTGGAAATCTCGATTTCGAACTTTCAAAGGGAGAACATTTTGAGAAACTGATCAGTTTCTTTTTTAACTATAAGCATCCTCATTAAATGTTACTTTTTTGGAATGCACCTTCCCAAGTCAAGGGCTATTTTTCTTTATTTGTTAAGGTAGGATTTTTAATACTATATCTTCTGGAAATAATATTTAATTGTTTTAAATAAATATTAATACAGAATTATATATAATAACATTTTTGAAACCTCAGTGAAATCCTTGAAACACATTAACAATCTTATTATTCAATTTATCATAACCAGTAATTTTAGATGCACTTAATTTTTGTTATTTCAATATAAATAATAAGATGAATGTTGACATTTTTACAATTAAATTCAAATTGTTCCTATCATATCTTTTTTAATGGAAATTGGAGTCAAATATCTACTAAGATGACAATTTCTAAGATTGATTGGATATCTTAAGGGTAATATCCACTATCTTTATCTTTCAAAGAGTTCTTCTCCATGATTTAANTTTTTCCTTTGACATTTATTCTATAATCCTTCAAGTTTTTCCTGATGACTTTAATTTCATAGCCCTCTGGTGTATATATTTTAAAGAGTAGTTCAAGTGTACTTTCTTGAGCCATATATGATGGAGATCGAACTCCTCATCAAAAATTAAATGATAGGTTTCTTCTGGTTTATTAGGTTGATTGACTATGTAAAGTGTTTTAGAGGGGAATTCAGTTGCATAATGCATCACAATAAGAATATGACTTAAGAAAATTTCTTAGAAAAGTCTTAAGTTGGTTTATTTGGTGTATCAAATGAATTCTTGTATTTTCTGACTAATTTTAAATTCTTTTTTTTTATAAGATATTTAGGAAACACATCCATCTTCTTTATATGATCATTTTCACCTTGTAGTCAATAATCAAAGGGCTTTAAGAATCTTGTCTTTGGCCCATTTAATGTCGGTCTTATGTTGAATACAATTCTTTTTCATCAGGTCTTCTAAGTATTCTCTTGATCGAAATTTGGTAGGTTTGTCCATCCAGCAGTCAGTCATTCTCTTGATCATCCCTTCTTTGTTTAATTGGAAATCTCGATTTCGAACTTTCAAAGGGAGAACATTTTGAGAAACTGATCAGTTTCTTTTTTAACTATAAGCATCCTCATTAAATGTTACTTTTTTGGAATGCACCTTCCCAAGTCAAGGGCTATTTTTCTTTATTTGTTAAGGTAGGATTTTTAATACTATATCTTCTGGAAATAATATTTAATTGTTTTAAATAAATATTAATACAGAATTATATATAATAACATTTTTGAAACCTCAGTGAAATCCTTGAAACACATTAACAATCTTATTATTCAATTTATCATAACCAGTAATTTTAGATGCACTTAATTTTTGTTATTTCAATATAAATAATAAGATGAATGTTGACATTTTTACAATTAAATTCAAATTGTTCCTATCATATCTTTTTTAATGGAAATTGGAGTCAAATATCTACTAAGATGACAATTTCTAAGATTGATTGGATATCTTAAGGGTAATATCCACTATCTTTATCTTTCAAAGAGTTCTTCTCCATGATTTAAATTCTTTTTAAATCTTTTTCATCATTGAAAACATACTTTATTTATCTTCTAATAGTATTGAGCTCTTTTTATCTATATAATTGTTGTAAAAATTTGTAATTTTATGAGTTCCTTTTCTTTTCCAAAGGCTCCTTAACCTAGAACATGTCAAATCTATATTTTTATTTATAGATCCTTCCTATAAATTAATGAAAATATCTTATCTATGCTTGTTTCTAGTCTACTTTCCAATTTAACTTAATCTATTCATTCTACTTTATTATGTAGTAAATAATTCAAAAAAAGATTTACTTTCAACAACTATAGTATTAGACATTTACTACATTACTAATAAAATTTCAAGATTATTTTTATGCTCTCTAGATTAAGGGATATTGAAGTTTCTAATTACTAATAGATGGTTTAGTCTTACTCTTTTTTCTGCTCTTTTATGAAATAGAATCTTTAGGGATTGTTTATGGAGTGAAGTTTGATATTTCATCTAAATCTTAATCTAATTCATCGAAGATATGATATAAAGAACCTTGAAGAATATAGTAATCAATTTTAATTATATAAATGATATTTAACCAATTTTAATAAAAATATTCAATTCTGCTCAATAATTTTTACTCTAACTTCTTAAATTTGTATTTTCTTTCTGATTAAAATATGAATTATCTTATATACAATAAGGAAAAGAATGGATTAAGGTTTTAAGTTATTGATTATCATAATTAATTGAAAATATAATTTTATTTTTGAATTATGTAAATTATGCTTATATTAAGGAATTGATTTTTCATTAGTGATCCTTAATGAATTTAGAATTTGGTTGCCAATATTCTAATTTAGTAGTAATTTTGTAAATTATGTAGATTAAGAATTAAAACGATATGATGATAATGAAAATATCAAGCCAATCAAAATAATTGGACATTAAAATATTCTATTTAGATTTACCTCCTAAAGCTTAACTAGAAGCTGTTCAAAAATGTAAGATCATAAATATTATCATGAACAGTTATAAAAGCAATATCAACTATAGATGTAATCCAACTGCATTGTTAATCACATTAGCCTAAAGCTTTCAAATAAAACATATTCCATAGTAAAAGCATTCACTATCGTCCATATTCTTTGTGCAATTATCTTCATCTATAGTATTTTCGCATTATTTACAAAATAAAATACCATAAGATTTTAGTAGAAGTATCCATTTACAGTTAGATAATAAATGAGAATTAAGTCTAACGCAGCTTGTACTTTTGTTGTTCCTGAATTTTGAATAGTTATTTTAAAGTCTTTTTCAAAAATAATTCTATCTTTAAGTGCTTTAGATAATATTTCATAAACTTTTTGTTAAATATTTTTCTTGATTAATGTTTTAAGGATTTGGCTGTTTATGTTTTTTGGCTTGTTTTAGACATAAATATTTTAAAATTCATCTTGCCAATCACCCTAAGAAGTTTTTGGAAATGAGATATTCCAGTTTTATTGGCTTCAAATTTTTTAATACTTTTAGGATTTTTTAAAAGTTACCTCAATTAATTATGATAAATCCTGCAAAAATAATTAATTAGATCAAAACTTACTTTTTAATTCATTGCAATTTAAGAAAAAATTTCATTAAAGCTGATACTAATGAATAAGAATTAGTCAATTTTGATATTCATTTATTGAAATATAACTGGAATTAATACCTGATAAATTTTTATATATATTTGAGTTTTGTTTAATTCTTCTGATCATTCAATTAATACAATTTTTAATATATTAAATCACTTTTGATCAACATAACATTAGAATAATGATTTACTTGATATTTTTTGTAACAAGCGACTGTAATATTATTTAATATTTTAAGTAAAAAGCGAATTAATGAACTCTATTTCCCAGTTCAGCAAACTTAAGAAGAAGATGGAAAAAACTCTATCACAATTATGTAATCTAGAAAATATTAGGTGAATAAATTGTTTATTTTTGGTATGAAATAAAATTTAGTAGAAAATTGATTTAAGGCTTTGATTAATATCCTACTAAATTTAAATTGATATTTAAACTGCAATTTAATTGAGGCTCAGATAAAAGATATAATAATTAATGATTTTAATTTATTAAACTAAATAGAATTGAATCTAGTCAAACTAAATAATGAAAGAATTTTGTTTAAATCATCTTGTTCCAAAATTCTTATCATAATTGATTTATATAATCTTAGGTTTCTGGTTCTCAATCCAAAAAAGTTTATATTTATCCAAATAAAAATTATTTTCTCGTTTTCCTAGAAACTTCATCAGTAGATATACGACAGAACCATCATTATTACTTTTCATCAATAATAATCCTAACTCATCTACTTGTCTCGAAAATTTAAAGAAATAATATGCTTTTTTTATTTTGATTTTTGTTAAGATCTTAAAAATTTTAATTCTTCATACCAGCTGAAAAATTGACTTAGTTATTATTAATTGTATATTCATTTTTATAAAATAATAAGATATAATGGAAAGAAAAAATAAAAAACAAGGAATTTTTAGGCTTGATGCTGATATTGTTATATGCTTGATGAATATACATTTCAGGTAAGTTGATTTCTATAGTCAAATATAGGATTTTCTCAAAATTATCTTTAAATAGATTGAGAAAATATTAACTAAATTAATATAGAATAAATTCATTAAATCCAATCAAAGGAAGAGTAATACAAAATTTATAAAGATGATACAATAATTATAAAGCAAAAGTTAAGTAATCAAAACAAGATACTTTTAAACTATAATATTCTTCATCGTTTAAGCTATAGATATTAAGAAACTTTTGTTAGGTAATTGAAAACAAAACAAAAACTGATGAAATATGAACATTAAGAGATTTTATAATAAATATATAGAATTGAGACTATTATATAATTGATTTATTTTTATATGAAAATCAAGATGTGGGTAATAGGTATGGTTTTTATAATTCCTATTTAATCAAATAATAAATTCAATAATTTCTCAAAAGCTATATGAAAAAAACATACGTATTATTAAAAAAAAATAATTTATCTTTCAAGTTGACTTTCTTATGCATTTTTATTTGGAGAAAGAACTAACTTAATGTAAAAAATTAAAAATTACTATTCTTTGATTATATTTTTATCCTTTGAGGGAATTTTAATCTTGTTTTTATCATTTTTGAAATTTAAGATGGAAAATAATTCTGTTTTTAAATAAGACCCAATTATTAATAAAATATATTGCTTAAAAAATACGGATTAATTTTTATTCAAGTAAAAAATAACTTCTTAAGCTCATGTAGATCAGAAGTTCAAAAGTGAAATGAATTATTATGATTATAATCTCAAGTTTTCTAAAGGAAATGATAAAGGATGGATATTTTTTAAAGTAATGAACCATAATCTAAATAGAGATTATTAAATAATAGAAGAATAGTTTGAATAAAAAGAATTCGAATTTTTTTTTTCAATTAAATCATCTGATTCCTCATTATAAAACATAAAATTCAAATAATCTTAAAACCATAATATGAATTCATTGATTAATTATTTCTAAGTTCTGTTAATTATAATATTAATACAACTATATATATAGAATATATTATGAGTAAGATTTATAATATTTAAATTAAAAAAAGATATAAATGTTTTTTTGTCAAAACTTAGAACACGAGATTAGTTCAATTATCGGTTTTTGCCTTTATCCTGATTGTCAAGAACCTAAATCACAATTTTGTGTTAATTGTTTAATCAATCCTCAGAAACATTTAAATTGTAGAAATGACTGCAAGCCATTTGATAAAATCGATATACTCCTAGATTTAATTATATATAAGCTAGATTAAATGTTAGAATAAGCTGACTGGAAGTTTCAATAGTTTAAGTTAGAGTATGAAAAAACAATCAAAATTATTTTAAAAGAATAGCAAAAGTTTTAGGAGATAGCCAAAAACTTGTAAGTATAAAAGTTCAAGGACTTTCTTGATAATATTGGCAAAGTAAAGTTTTGGAATACAAATATAAAATCTACTTAATTTGATAAAGAAATTATTAATCTCTGTATTCATAATATTTTACAATTAGGGTTAAAACAAGGAATCGAATTAATAAACTAAAAGGAATACTAAAGTGCTTTAGTAAAATTTGAGAAAGTTTTATAAGAAGACGCAAATAATCATTTGGCAAAATTTTACTAATGTATAATAAAATAAAAATAAGGTGTTACATTAATGTAATAGAATAACAATTATAAATCCTTTTAATTGTTAAAAGAATTATAATTAGAATATCCAAATTTTTAAGAATAAGCTCTAATCACTCTATAGGAAAAATTAAGAATTAAAAGCAATAATATAGCTACATTGATATTAGAAGGTAACATTTGCAATAATTAAAAGTATATTCTATGACAAAATTGGATAACAGTAATATAATCCTTAAAAAAGATATGGATCAAAAAATTATGATATCTTGTGATACTATATTAGGTTTAGATAGAAATAATTGCTATGCTTTATGGATGAAAAGTATTAAAAAAAATAATTAATAGTAATTTCATTAATTGAATAGTAAGAATTGTAATAAGCAATTTTGAGTGTTGAATAAGGTTTGATGTTGAATTCTAACAATAGTCATTTAAATTATTTAAAAGGTAAATAAAACATAATAATTATTAGGTTTTGCACTATATAAACTAAATTATTTTAAAAATGCTATGGTATTTTTAGATATAGCCATTTCACTTGATCGTAATCATGTTAATGCCTATTATAATAAAGGTTATCTCCATAATTTAATTTTAGGTCTTTGTTTATAAAATTTGAAATAATATGAACAAGCAATAATTTGCTATGATTAAACTATTTCAATAGATACCAATTATATTAATGCCTATTATAATAAAGGTTTATCTTCAAAATTGAATTTTAGGTAATTGTTTAGACAATTTGAAATAATATGAACTAGCAATAATCTGCTATGATTAAACTATTTCAATAGATATCAATTATATTAATGCCTATTATAATAAAGGTTTATCTCTATAATAGAATTTTAGGTAGTTGTTTAGACAATTTGAAATAATATGAACTAGCAATAATCTGCTATGATTAAACTATTACAATAGATCCTAACTATATTAATGCCTATAATAACAAAGGTTTATCTCCATAATTGAATTTTAGGTAGTTGTTTATATAATCTGAAATAATATGAAGAAGCAATAATCTGCTATAATAAAGCTATTTCCATAGATCCCAATTATGTTAATGCCTATTATAACAAAGGTTCATCTCCTTAATTGAATTTTAGGTCTTTGTTTATACAATTTGAAATAAAATGAACAAGCTATAATATGCTACGATAAAGTTATTTCAATCGATCATAATTACGTTAATGCCTTTTATAAAAAAGGTTTATCTCCATTATAGAATTTTAGGTAATTGTTTAGACAATTTGAAATAATATGAACTAGCAATAATCTGCTATGATAAAACTATTTCCATAGATCCCAATCAAGTTTAAGCCTATAATAACAAAGGTTCATCTTCAAAATTGAATTTTAGGTAATTGTTTAGACAATTTGAAATAATATTAAGAAGCAATAATCTGCTATGATAAAGCTATTTCAATAGATCCCAATCAAGTTTAAGCCTATAATAACAAAGGTTCATCTTCAAAATTGAATTTTAGGAAATTGTTTATACAGTTTGAAATAATACGAACAAGCAATAATCTGCTATGATAAAACTATTTCAATAGATTCCAATTATATTAATGCCTATTATAATAAAGGTTATCTCCATAATTTAATTTTAGGTCTTTGTTTATAAAATTTGAAATAATACGAACAAGCAATAATCTTCTATGATAAAGCTATTTCAATCGATCCCAATTATGTAAATGCCTATTATAATAAAGGTATTATTTTATTTTTATTTTAGCAAATTGCTTATTATTATAGAACCAAATCATTTAAGCTACACAAAATTATCAAATAGCATTATCTTTGAATCATCCTTTTTCGCATAAAATTTAATAGAAAATCATCAAACTCAGAAACACCTCATTATTATGAAATAAAATAAACATATATTATTTTATTTTTTCTTAATATCAATACTCAAATTTTCTTAAAAGTTCTAAGCATAAGATTCTATTATTCTCTTCTTTTATTAAATAAGAAAATAATTTAAACCTTTATTTTTGCTCTTTTTATCCTTTGCTTAAATTTCTTATATTCTATTCTATTTTTTTTAATTAAATTAAATTAGAATAGAATATATATTATTATCATAATTAAAACGAAAAATATTTCTTTCATTAAGATTTTTTCTCTCACTAACTCTGACGCACCTACTCTGCTTATCTACCTTTTTGTCAACACCTTTCAATTATAATCATTTAGTCTAAAATAATCAAACAAAGTATTTTCAGTTGATAGTTCCTGACCTTCTTTATATGCCAAATAAATTTTTAAGTTTTATCAATTAATTCTTTATTAAAGTTGATTAAATTTTTTTGTTCAAAATGATATAGATATGGATTGATTCTTTAACTAAGTGAGTGATTCTAAGATATAAAATCTAACTTCATTTTCTTTATTTATTTTTTTATACATAATTCATTTCTTTAAGATTCAAACTTTGAAGTGTCTTTGAAAATACAAATACCAAACTTAAGCAAGTTTTATTATTTTCATGAATTGTTGATCTTGCTCTCTTAAAGTTTTAAAAGTATCTTGTTTTTAAATTTAATATTTTAATCTATTCTAATTACTTAAGCTACAAAGATTATAATAGCTATCGAATTTTTTTTGGGCAATGTACTTTCCACAATTCATTATATTGTTTGTAAGAAACTATAAAGTTTCACAAAGAAATGTATCATTGATTATAAAATATTTTTAAAGATAATACTATGGTTAAAAGCATCCCACTGATAATAATCTTCTGTTCTTAATTTGATGATCATTTTTATTATTTTATTTTTTATGAACATAAGAAATATTTAGGTTTTAAAGAGCTAAATCAATTATTCTATAATATGATTTTAAATTAATAACATATTCATATTATATTCATAAATGTAGATTTCAATCACCTATATTAATAAATTTTTTTTTTTGGACTTCAAATTTTCTTTCCTATGAGAAAATTAATGGATTTAATTTTAAATTTGGTTGCTGAATTTTATTTCATGATGTTTATATTTATTATCATATTCTAAATATTGATACTCTTATAATTTATAGTAAAATCAATAGACTAGATCTCACTTGTGATTTATAGAAGAAATCAGAAGTTAAGAATACATACATGATTTGGATTTTTATATTTTATGTTTATCCACTTAAAAGGGTTTAAATTATTTAATTTAATTAAATAATCCCTAGATTTATATATATAATTAATTAAAGAATATATAATATTTGATTATCAATTACTTCATCAAAATTTTACAAATAAATTTTCACTTATTAATATGAAATTTAAAAGCTTTAATTAGCCATTAAGTGAATCCATAAGAAATTGAAATGTTTCAGAATTATGCAATAATATTATCAGTTAAATTATTTAATATTTTAAAGAAGGAAAAGTTCTATGTAATTTTGAACCTATTTTTAATTCTTAATTACGTTCTTAATCTTTTAATAGTAAAATTAGAAACTATGACGATATATTTGAGGAAAGATTCAGATGTAAATTCAGCAACATTCTTAGTATTACTTTCAAATAAATTTTGCCAAGATTCTTCGCAAAGGTAATCAAAGTTATGGGCAGGTTTCCTAGAAATATATATTATTTATTTTCACATTTTCACTTTAACTTGACTCTTAATTCTCATATTAGAATATTCAAACCTTTTCTTTTTAAAAGGAATTAATTATTTAGATTGTCAGTATTAAATAAATTATTATTATAATTTGTTTCAACAATTAGACACAAAATAAAGTCTAGTCATATTACGGTAGAATAATTCATAGTAACACAGGATTAGGTTTTTTGCTAAAAAAATCCTATCATTTTTAATCATTTCTATAATCTGATTATTTCTATTTTATACCAACATTGATCTGATTAAATTATTTACAATCAAATTTTTTAAAGATTGTAATCTAGTAATAATAATTATTCTGATGGTTGATAAAGTTTTAAAAAAGAAAATTAGTTTAAGGAAGATGTCCCCATACATAATTAAAAAGTTTTCTCACAAATATTTAATATTTATCACAAAAATGATTGATTGCAAGTGGTATGGCTAGCAAAGCTTCAAATATTAAAGTTTCTTTAAACAATCTGAGAGAAATTTAATTATTTTATTTCATATAAAAACAAGAATTAGGCTATTAAAAATTAACATTTTTTTTTTTCAAAATTTCATTAAATAGATTATTATAGTATCATTTATAATAGAGAGCTAATAATTTTTGTTTATGATTATTTTCATTATAATAAATTGAATTTGATTTTTAAGAAAATAAATTTTAATTTTTTCAATGGTAATTAACTTTTCTTATATAATTAACACTAATTATTTTTATCAATGAATTGCATTTATCCATTTAGTATAAAGAGAAAATTTATTTTGGAAATCATCACTTAAGAACAATTTTAACTTTACAATTAGAAGTAGTAAAGTCATCAAAAAAAAGTTATCTAAATTAGATGGATGCCTTATACACCATTATTTTAAATCTTCGACCATTTATAGCTATAGAATATACTGCCAAACTTAAATCAAAACACTAAATAAATAGAATTAATTTAAAAATTAACTAACCTCATATTAGTTCTTCAAGATTATTCTTCCTTGAATTATTTATAGCTTGAACAAATGATTTATGGTTTTCTATTGGTTTAGTAATATATTTATTTGAATTTTCATTCTATTTTTTTTATATTTATTGTGCCTTCTTTGCTACAATTGCCTTTTATTCTTCATGATATTATTATTTCTTAATAGTTTTCTATATTTTTTCTTTAATTAGTTATTAAACGAAATCGTTTTAAGCATCAATCAAATATATCAACTCTTTGAAGATAGTTTCTAAAGTTTCATATAAATATTTGTTTAAGATTGGTAAAGGCATTTTTAGAGAATTAATTTACTTCATCAAAAATTGATTTTGTAAGAAAAAAATATAAATCCTCATTAGAATTTCATATAATAATGTAACATTATTCCTAAAGTTTCCAATTTATGATATTTATAAGGTTTGAAGAATTATCAATCCTATCCTTACAATAACTGAACAAACTAATCTCCTTGTTTTGAGTTTATACTATCCATTTCTCCAACTAGACAACTGAAAAGTACTAACTGTTCTAATTGTTGTAGTTAGTTATTATATTGTGGAGCTCAGTCTTGACACTGAAAAGGTAGACCTAGTCACAATTAATGTTAATAAAAAGGTTTTAACATGCACACTTATTTAATAAAAAGAAAAATGATTTTTTCTGATGGAAAAATTCCAAGACATTTGAATGAGATAAGAGGATATTAAACGCGATCTGTTGTTTGCAATTATTATAACTGATGAATTAATTCTAATATTAATTTTTCTTTGTTGTTAGTTAGTCAACTATTTTATATATTTAGTTTCAGTCTTGAGATTCATTTAAAAGTAGCTAAAGAGCATCCTTAATGGTGATGATATTAATTAGGTGAATGAGGTGATTAAGTGTTTTGATTAATTCATTTGCCTAAAAAGGTTGGGATAATTTAGATACTAGTATTGAAGTAATTTTCTATAAAGATTTCAATTTTTATTTGTATATTTATTAATAAAAATCGATTGGCCTGAAAAGAAAAGTTTACACATTTTGTAAATAAAATTTGAATTTATTAAACAATGAAATTAATTTTTAGTAAAATGCTATTTCTTTTAAAGAGATTTTTTTTTTTTAATTAAAAAAGTAGATTATACAACTCATTTTCCATTTTCCAATCATCTATCTATTAGCATACACACCATTTTAAATGTATCATGAATAAAACCAAAACTCATTGCTCAATTCAATCCATCTTCTATTATTAATTTAACCAATTTCATTATATGACCTTCAAAAAATACAAAATTGATCTTATTAATAAACATACATTTATTTTAAATCCTTAATCCATAATATATTCCATATACCAACTTTTTCCCCATTTTTATGCACCAATATATTTCACATCTGACCACTTCATCTTAATACCTTCCACCACTAAAAGATATTCTTTTTTTTATAATACATTATTTGGAAAGGCTTATCCCATAAACTCCTTTAAAAAATATTGCATTCTCCAACTTTTTTCCCCTTCTAATATACATTATGAAATGTAACTTTTGAATAGTCCCAAAATCAATTACATAAATCAACCCATTTTCCATTCTGCTGACTATTTTAATTAAATTATCCTCCCCCTATTTAATAATAAAGAATACTTTACATTGATGAGCTTCCATAACCCTTATGTTTTACCTTCATTTGAGTATAATTTAATATTATAATACTATCCACCGACATTTTTTAATTATTCTCCTTTAATAACTTTCAATCTTCCTACTTTAAAGTTATCATTAGAAAATAAAGAATGATATTGTTGTTTCTCTTTTGTAGATTACAATTTTAATTCAAGATTTTCCATTATATTGGCAAGTTTCACTTCTAATAATTAGACTAGCTCAGAATTTTTTTTAGAGATCTAAAATTTTATATCAATTTTTTTATTTCTTATCTTCTCGAGGTGAATATGAAAATTAAACTCTCTTTCGATATTTGAAAAAGAGAGATTTTGAGTTTTTAATGGTTTGAAAAAAAATTGTTATTCAAACTTTATTCAGATGCTATTTCTTATATCAAATCGTATAAAAAAAATTTTCATCTTAAAAAATGTAAGCTAAGTTAGGTCACCTAATTTTCCAAATCATCTCATATTATTTAAAATCAATTAAATTTTTCTGTAACAGAATCATTTATTTATAATTCATAATAAGAATAAACTATTAATCACCTCAATATGATTTTTGTGTTCAAATAATCTTTTTCTCAAGGTTATTAAGTCCTTTAACCTTATTAACCAAAGCACATGAAAGATAATATACTATTAAAAAATTTGTTTAAGTTTAAGGCCAAATTAATTAAACTAATTCTAATAAATTTTGTCTTTTAAAAATCCAATTTATTTTTATTTTACATGATAGCTTATTAAGTAGACTCCAAATTATTCGATTATCAGTAAGTCTAATCATTATATTTTTTCACTCTAGCTTAACTTTTTACTCAAATCTCTAGCTGTATTAGTCCCATACAAATAATATTTCTTTCAAATTCAGAAAAAATGGATTACTTTTTAATATAAGTTATCAAGAATAATTATTTGTTTTCTTCACAACTTTATTATATATATGTCAATTAACATAAAGTTGCAATTACATAACCTAATCCAGTTTTTACTTAATTTTTAAACCAATTTTAGAAAAAGTCTTTGATGATGAAGGTTCAGAAGTACTATCATATTTATTTCGAAATATCTAACTTCATTATAGATATTAATTCAGAAAATTCCTGTTTAAAGTAAAATACACAAGTTGTAGAGAAATGTATAAATTTAACTCACTAAATCATAAAAAAAATTTGCATTGACAATTTAATTACTATCTTATAATACTATCATCACTATTTTAGTTAAAATAAAATTTCCATAATTTACTAGTTGTTATTTATCAATATGTATATTCAATATATAGAATGAATTACTTTATAATATTAACTTTATATTGATTATTAAAAATAAGGATTTAGACTAAAGCTAATAGAAAACCTATTGATAGGAGAAATTTAATACTAAAAATATATCTATTTATATTTATGACTTCAAGAACTAAGTTTTACAAATCAATTTTTTAATATTTTTACTAACATTCATCAAAATGAATTTTTTTTCATAAGTATACTATACTAAGCGACTTATATTAGGGCTTCCTTATTCCATTATGCCTTCCGCTTAAGCAATTTTTTTATCATCTTTTAATACAACCTACCAATAGAGATACTTGATCTATCTCAAGTTTTTCAAAACTAAGGGATTTTTGGATTGAATCTTAAATGAATCTCTTTATAAATTTTAAGTGACCATGTACTTTCTAAATATTACTACATGTTATTAGCCTATGATTGAATTATCTTCTTTAATCGTGAGTTTAATTTTGATATATACAAGTTACTTAAAAATTTAATTCCACATTTCAACTTCGATATTTTGCAATTGCTGTTGCTTCTAAAAAGAATGTATTATAAATAAAGAAAATAGACGGTTAATCCTTTAAAAATTTACTGAATTTGGATGAATCATTAAAAATAATTTTTAATTTTCGCTTCTAAGAATATTTTAAAGAATAAATAATATTTTGTTTTTTAAATATATTTTTTTTCGGTTTGGAAATAAATTAATATTTATTATGAAATTTTATATATTCTCTTTTATTTACTTATTATCCTTTACAATAAAAGGATAAATTCTAGTTCATTAGAGCGCCATACGATTCATAACTTTTCATTTAATAGAAAACTAGAGGAAAAAATAAAGTAGTAACTAAATTTGAACTAAATGTGACAAACTTTTATTATTATTAATAATAATAATTTTACGGAAAGCAATCTATTAAAATAATTTATCTCAATCAAATTTGATTCCATATATAAAAGCAGGAAATTTTTGCAGATTTAATTATTTTTAATTTTTTGCAATAAAAGTTTTAACCAGAATTTTATTTATATTTATTAATCATTTATATAAAACTCTAATTTCTGTAGCTCCTACTACCTATCAATATTTTGTATCAATTTCTTTAATAAATTATTAAATTATAATAAATCTCAAAATAATTATCTGAAAGGATTGAAATTAGTTAATAAAAATAAATGTAATTATTTATAAATTTGAATTTAAATTAAATTATATTAAATTTATAAATATTCAGTAAGTTGATATCTATTCAGATACTTTATTCTTTCAAAACTTAATTTATAAATTATAACTCTTAGATTTATTCTTGAATGTTTAGATTTACTCTTCTAACTTTTTATAAGATTATATAATGAAACACCAGATACATTAAACAAATAAATACTTGAATTTGGCAACTAACCAATTTATAATTTTTTTGATGGACTATTTTCTTTTAAAAAGTCCATTATAAATAGAAAATAATTAGCCTATGCATTTTGATATAAAGAGAAATTGATTAGAAGAGTTTTAATCAAGAGAAGAATGTGCAATAAGGATTAAATAGAAAAACAAAAAAAAATCATTTGACAACTTCTCTATTTGAGTAGTGACTCTAATCTATATTAAATAATTTATAATTTACAATAAAAATGAGGATTTTTTTATCAAAAGTAATATCTCAATATAAAGGGGATAATTTGGAATACAATAATATACTTATATTCAAATCATTTTTTTTCGTTCTACTGATTTATCTATACTATTTTATACAAATAATATGAATCCATTAAAATTTAATAGAAACAGATATTCCTAGACTTAACATTAAAACAGTACTTATAAATAAATTATATAGAGTTAATTTCAAAATTAGATTCATTTTAGCAATTATAGTTTTATAGATTTACAGAATAATAGATCAATTAAATAATTTCGTATAGAAATTGAATTGTACATCCTATTAAGATAAAAGTCATGTAGATTTTGATCAATCATAGGCTTCACATTGTCACAACTCTAATCTTTTTACTTTTGTAGGTATTATGATTTAAATTTATTAAATCCACATTTTCTCTTGGTATTGAAATACTTTTAAAACCTGAAAATCTTAAATAGATTAAATTAATATTTGATGATATGCATTTTATCAAAAGTATTTAAAACTTACGGTTCAAACATCTATAATTACATTTAAAATTAGAAACTATCAAGAAGTCTTTTAAAAATATATTAGAATAAACAAGCCCACAAGAACTACAAAAATTGTAAGAATTAATAAATCTTGATGAGTTTCTACTTTCTATAATTAAAGAGTACCCAAAAAGAATAATTTGCTGTAATAGTAATATTGAAAAATAAATTATAAGTGAATTAATAAGTGTATAATTCACTGAACACGACTATTAAAATTAGCTATCAAAGTAGAAAGGATTAATAGAATACTTACAATTCCGATTATCAATAGAAGAATAAACGATATCCTAAGAAGAATAAGATTTAGAATTAATTGAGAAGGAATTAGGAGAATTATTCATTGAAGAATCTCCCTACTAGTTGCGATTAGAAAAAATTATTGAAGGTCTAGCTATTGATGAATCATTAAAAAATGTGATTGAAGAAAAATTCAGTATTTCAGAATAGAGATTGGAGAAAGATAAATTTAATAATTTTTTGTCTTAGTTAAGAAAAATCAAAGACTCAGGCAAATATTAAAACATACATTAGATTAAGATTGAGTATTGGGATTAATTAGCCATCCAAACAACAACAGTAATTAAAACATTGGAAACGTTTGGATAAATAGATAAGGAAATTTTTTAAATGTTATTGAATGAAGAGCTAATGAATTTAAAAAGGTTATTAAGTGAAGAAAAAATATATTCAGAGATACAGTTAAATGCTGCACTTCAAAGCAATTAAGAAAAAATGATAAATGAGAAAGATAAAATAACAATTACTACCAAAAGTGATTAAATTTAAGAGAATTAATCACATGATTTAATAGTTAAACAAAAAGAAAATTATCAAATTAATGAAAAAGATGTTATAACCTGGATGAAATCTAATTTTTTCAGCAACTTGAACCGTAGGACTTACTTGTTATTTTTGATTAAGGTGGTAAAATTATAAATATAAAAAATAATAGAATCGAAGGAGTTATTACAAAGATTTCTTGAAGAAGTTAATGTTTTCTCAGATAAACTTGATCAAATTCAAAAATATAAATAAGAAGTTTAAACTAAATTATAATAAAGATTTTAGTGTCGATTTTAAGAATTTATAAAGAACTTTGAATAATTAATATTGACACAAATCAACTTACAACAAATAGAAGATGAAAATTTTGAGAGTTATTTTGAAAGAATACAAACTAATTTATCAAAAGGAAACTATGATACGGAAATTACTTAAACATAATAAAATATATCTGATTTTCTAAAAACTTTAAAAGTGTATTTTTCAGAAAAATTACTAGAACCAAAATATTCTTCGAATTCTCATATTAAATAAGAATTTCTGATTGAATGTATTAGAAAATTATATTTATTGGATAATTAAGAGGAAGAGTATGATGAAAAATCTGATCAATAATTAGGTTTATTTGATACTTTGAAACAAAAGTATCATGATTTTTAAAATAATGAGGAATGGAAAATAAAATAAGGTCTCGTATTTACAATAATATAGATTTCATCTAATTGCTTTACAGATACAATTATTTCATTTTGCTAAAAATCCTTAATCTAATTGTGGGTTTCAGAAAAAGATTTAAGAGTTAGAACTCTATTAAAAAATAAAAACTTAATAAATATGTAAATGTAAATCTTGTAGAGAGATTGGTAGACTTAACATGATAGAATTGCTAGCGAAATGTAATAAATGTTGAAGAAAATCGATTAATTGTAAGAATAAATTTTTCATGAGGCAAATCTTAACAAACGAGAGTTACAACTCAAATAAATTGATGAGACGACTTTGTAATTAGATGAATATATTGAAAATATTAATGAAATGGGTTAATAACTTTAACTGATAACTGATTTTGTTAATCATATCAGAAAAGGTTTATTAAGAGTTGAAGGAAAAATGAATGAAATGAAAGAGTCTCTTATTAATATGAGTAATGAGATTAAATTATTAAGAGGAAAATCTGTTGAATAACTGTTGGAAATTAGAAAATGGAAAGTATTAATGGAAGCAGCATATAAGAACGTTAGGTCCATCTATGTGCCATTAAAAACTTAAGAGAAAGGGAAAAATGAACTAAGTAATTTGATGAATTTAGAATAATTTGATGATAAAGTTGGAGAAGTGAATAAATTTTTATAAGAAGAGAAAACAGTACTGTTAATTCATGGAATAACTGGATCTGGCAAAAGTACGACAACTAAAAAAATAGAAGAGTTTATATGGAAATAACATGACAAGAATAAATAAGTCCCCAATCAAGTTCTCATACCTATTTATATTTCATTACCTTCTTTAAATAATCCGAATTTCTAAGCAATAGAGGAAACACTTCGTTAAGATGATTATGGATTTGATGATATCTAATTAAAAGAATGTAAAGAAATGTTGGAAAAGAAGGAATTCAGATTTTTATTTATAATGGACAGTTATGATGAAATGAAACTCGAGAATCTTTAGAAAAATTTATACATTAATAATAAAATTAAATAAAATTGGTCAGACCCACTAGTTATTTTTACCACAAGAAGTGAAATTTTAACAAGTATTAATTATATCGATTGGTTTGCACCTGAAGATAAAACAAAATTAAAAGAAATCTAGCTTCTAAAATTTGACTAGGCATAAAAAGAAGAATATCTTAAAAAATTCACACTTTAGAGTATTAAAATGTTGATTATTGAAATGTACGAATAATAAATTTAAATTGAAAACAGAAGAGCCATGGATATCAATAAATTTGAGCTGTTTTGGGAAAAATGATTGTCAAATTTGAAATTTGATATAACATAGATGAAATCTGAGACTCTTTCGAATTAAAAATAAATAGAAAACATTTTAAAATTTTTGAAGGATGACGGGTACATTACTTTAAAAAGTAAAGATTTTTTAAGAAGCCTGAGTATAAATTTACAAAAACTCTGGAGCACTGAAAAGTATGACAATATGATTAAATAGATAAATTTAAATAAAATGGTGGAAACTCCACAAATGATGGAAATATTAGTTTAAGTTTTGCCAGAAATGATGGTTAAAGCGACCTAGATAGTAAACCTTAAATAAAACTTCTTTAAGAATTTCTCAAAAATGATTAAGGAGTATTTTACAAGTTAATTTATGATTCATATGTATAAATGGCAACAGAATAAGCAATTAAAAAATAAAATTGAAATAGAATTATAACTAGACACTTTTGTCAATTAAGATGAAAATTCGGAAGTTACTCAAATTGATATATAAAACTTAGAAAAAATAGATTATCATTAAGTTTCTCTTGAAGTTTGGAATAAAATGGAAAATAATTAAATTCCTTTACAACTTTAAATCTCATATGATTTTGGTGAACTGGATCTCAATCTTTTAAAGATAATTGAACCTAATCTTCTACTACCAAATACCTTATTTAATAAAGTTAAAATTCAAAAAGAAAGAATAATCTAAGTTGTTAGCGATGCATTAAAAGAATACAATCTCACAAGTTATGATTTTTATAGTGAGTTTATTAAATATTACCATTTGAAATAAATCGAAAAATAATAAAACTTGGGAAAATCTATAAATATTGATAGTTTTTTGCATGATCTAAAATAGTATTCAATTAAACTTGCAAAATCTATGAGTAATAAATAAGTTACTTAAGTTTAATATAAACAAAAAGGATTATTATATAAAGAAGAAGGAGAGGAAGGAAAATGGCTGAATGAATTTTTTAATGATGATACTTAATATGGGTCTTATAAAAAGGATATTAGAAGTTGTTCATTGATCTAAAAAAAAGGTGCAAACTTTTTATTTGTCCATAAGTCTATCTAAGATTTCTTAATTGCAGCTGATTTATATGAAATGTTAGCGTTATCAACAGATCTTGATTTGCAAATATTGAGTTCTATTATAGAAAGGTTATCAAAAGAATAAACTTAAAATTAAGATTACTTAGAATTTATCTCAAATTTAAATCTTTCTGAATTGAATTTTAAATTTGATACTTTATCTCTTTTTGAAAGGTAACACTAATTAAATGATATATAAAAGAACATTAAATTACTTTTAAATCTTATCAGAATTCTAAAATAGCATGACTTCAATTAGATTAATTATTCCACTAATTTTTATACAGAAACAAGGAGATATCTGAGATAAAAAATATCAAAAGAGCTTGTGATTATAGAATTTCTAAAATTGATAGTTAATCTTACTAAAATAGATAAAAATTTCATTTAGTGTGGATCTAACTCATTAAATTTATTAGTCGAAATGAAAGTTGATCTAACCAAGCAATGTTTTTCAAATATAAAAATAAAAAATACATCTATTATTGGAGCTAATTTTGCAAAATGCAATTTGAGCGGATCAGAATTAGAAAATGTAAATATAAATGGAATCAATTTAAATTGTGCTTAACTGTTTAATTGTAAATGGAAGCATTTAAAAATATATGAAGTACATCAATTTAATGGTCATAATGATACAGTCTGCTCAGTTAGCTTCTCACCTGATGGTACTAAATTAGCATCTGGTAGTGATGATATTTCTATCTGTTTATGGGATGTTAAGACAGGAAAATTAAAAGCAAAATTAGAAGGTCATACTAACTGGGTCTAATCAGTATGCTTCTCTCCTGATGGTACTACATTAGCATCTGGTAGTTAAGATTAATCTATTCGTTTATGGGACATAGAGACCGGAGAATAAAAAGCCAAATTAGATGGTCATACTCATTATGTCTACTCAATATGTTTCTCTCCTGATGGTACTACATTAGCATCTGGTAGTTTTGATAACACTATACGTTTATGGGAATTTAAGACAGGAAAATAAAAAGCCATATTACAATGTAATAGTTAAGTTAATTCAGTCAGTATCTCCCCTAATGGTACTACATTAGCATCTGGTAGTGCAGATAACTCAATTTTTTTTTGGGATGTTAAGACAGGATAATTAAAATCCAAATTGAATGGTCATACTAATTAGGTTCGATCCGTATGTTTTTCTCCTGATGGCATTTCATTATCATCTGGTAGTGATGATAAGTCTATCCGTTTATGGGATGTAAAGACAGGATAATAAATAGTCAAATTAGATGGTCATATTAATTAAGTCAAAACAGTTTGCTTCTCTCTTGATGGTACTAAATTAGCATCTGGTAGTACAGATAACTCCATCCGCCTATGGGATGTTATGACAGGATAATAAAAATTCTAATTAGAAGGTCATGATGGAATTGTCTGCTCAGTATGCTTTTCTCCTGATGGTACTATATTAGCATCTGGCAGTGATGATCAGTCTATCCGTTTATGGGATGTTAAGACAGGATAGCAAAAAGCGAGTTTCGATGGTCATACTCATAATGTCCGATCAGTATGCTTCTCTCCCGATGGTACTACATTAGCGTCTGGTAGTAGGGATAAGTCAATCCGTTTATGGGATGTTAAGACAGGATAATAAAAAGCCAAATTAGATGGTCATATTAACTGGGTCTAATCAGTATGCTACTCTCCGGATGGTGCCACATTAGCATCTGGCTGTGTAGATAACTCTATTCGTTTATGGGATGTTAATACAAGAGAAACAAAAGTTAGGTTGGAGGGTCATTAGGGTTATCTCAATTTGGTAAGTTTCTCTCCTGATGGTACTATATTAGCATCCTGTAGTAGTTTTGATTCTATAGGTTTATGGGATGTTGGGACAGGTTAATAAATAGCCAAATTAGGTGGTCATACTTATTGTGTTCAATCATTATGTTTCTCTCCTGATGGCACTACATTAGCATATGGTAGCGAGGATAAATCTATCAGATTAAAGGATGTTAAGACAGGATAATAATAATTCAAATTAGATGGTCATAGTGATTATGTCAGATCAGTATGCTTTTCTCCTGATGGCACTACATTAGCATCTGGTAGTGTTGATAACTCTATTCGTTTATGGGATGTCAAAACAGGATAATAAAAAGCTAATTTAATGGGCCATTTGAATGATGTTAATACAGTAAGCTTCTCACCTGATGGTACTACATTAGCATCTGGCAGTGATGATAATTCTATCCGTATATGGGATGTTAAAACAGTAAAAGAAGTTAAAACCACGGATATGATTTAGAAAGAAATTTTGGTAGAATTAGAAAATTAACTATTTTAGAACAATCTTCTACCAGAAGGGAGTATCTATAATCTTAATTTAGCATCCTCTCATTCAACAATACTCCTTATATCCAAATAGCCAATTTTTTAAGCGAATGGAGCTCTAATTCTGAAAGGTTAATTTGAGAATTAATCAAGCATAGATTTAAAAACATTATTTAAATAAAAAGGAAGTTGCATTTTGGAAAGGCAATAACAATAAATATAAAAATTGAATTGATTATGATCAAGGTTATACAAATAAATTAAAATTCAATTAATTTCCCTTCATTATTCTAATCATGCATCTAAAATTTTCCTTATATATGTATTAACCTAAGATTTTACATAGAAAAAGTAATATTTCTCATATTCCTTTCATTTTTTAATATTTAATGATTAAAGTTATCGGAAAATATCAAAAAATGATATTTATTCATAATTTGATTATTTTCAAATTATGTTAATATAAAAAAAATAAAAAAAAAATATATATAATATATAAAATAAACCCTTAGAAATATCTAATAAATATTAAAGGTACTTTGTTAACGAAGCATGGATAATATAAAGCTAGAAATGTCTTTCTTTTTATTAGTGTAAAAATTGGCTCCTCAAAAATTCTATTAATTATACAATTTAAAAATTTTTTGTTTCACAAAGTAAAAGTACTTTAAGACAATAGATTTGAACCATTTATATATTATTTCATGATTAAGTGAAGCTTAAATTAATAATTTGAAAATAGGTATTTCTAAATTTGTAAATTGTAAAAATCTTGCTAATCAAAATTTATTAATTAAAATTGCTTTTGGATTCAGATTTTCAAATCTCTAAACAAAATAAATAACAGATTATAACAATTAAGAAAATTAAAAATAGGTTTTTTACGAAATTATACTTTTGATATCAAAATTGATTTTAAGTGTTTTAACTGTTATTTTGTAATATCAACAATTTTAATGTAAATAAATGAATTAAGAAATAAATTATGCTTATTAAATCAAAAAACTAATTAAATGCTATAAATTTTTACTTACTTTTAATTAATGTTTTTATCTAATAATTATAATGAATAACTGCCATTAAGAAACTGTTAATTATGAATTGGGTTAATTTTAATTTATAATAAGAATACAACAAAAGTATTAAAATTAGGAGAATGTTGCTTTTATTAAATCAAAAGCTCCATGATTTAGTTCCACATTTTTTGAGTCTAATTTGAAATCATGCTATCAGTAAATTATCCTTAAGATTCAAGAAAAAAAAAGATGTAATTGCAAAAATGTAAGATAAAAAAGAGATCAGCATAAGCCCAAAATAGCTATGCCCAACCAATTTATACTAATTGATAATCATAAAATTTTAGCAAAGGTATTTCTGAAATCAAAATTTATGATGTCAATCTATTAATGTAAAAAAACCAATATAAAGGATAAGAGAATAAAAATATAAGAAGAACTGACTATACTTATCTTGATGTCATATACAAAGAAGCTATTCAACTAATACTCATGATAAAGCTCCTAATAAAAAGAAGTTCTTCCTTTTCATTTTATGTGAAAAAAGCAAAATAGTTGATTTCTAAAAATCATTATATATAAAGTTCTATGTTAAGTCACATCTCTCTTTGATTTTGTTGATTTATTATTTTATTTACAAATAAACAAATTCTATACTTAAGATGTTATTTTGTTTATTACAAAATATGTTATTCTTAGGATATCATCTTTATAAATTTGACAGCATTTGTCTCATAATTTTTACTGATAGGTGAAACTAATATCAAGTTACTAATGAGATATTAAGTTCAACGGGGCAAACTAACAGAGGAAAAGAAACCCTATTCTAAAAATTTAAAGTTGGATTTTATTTATACCTAAATGCAAATCATTTTCATATATATTGTCTATTTGATATATGATATTAATAAATAAATGATAATTATTAGATTGTTTCATTTTATAATTTTTTTATAACAATTTAAGACTATATTAAATCAATAATGATATAAATAATTAATATGATTATATTAATAAATATTATTTTTATAAAAATTAATGATATAAGTAGTTAAATATATTACTTAATAAATCTTTTTATAATAATCATAATTTTTTATTTTGGGCCATCTAAATCAGAATTGGGGAATCATTGGAAAGCTCTTTTTGTTGAATGTCTAATAACTTCTTCATTGGCTTTTCATACTTTATTCCTGAGAATTTAAACCATCTTTTTGACAATTTCTCTTTCTTCTATTATTACAAATTCTATAAAGCTTCATATACATTGAGTACTCTTAAATTGGCCTTCCATATCTTCTTGTAATCCTTTAAAGATATTTTCTGTAAAAAGGACTGATAAATTTTATCTTTTTCTGAATCTTTCAAATTATTCATGATTTCCTTCTTAGCTTCATTAAATTATTCACTAATCCTATTTCTCCTATTTGAGAGTTCTCCTAAAAAAACATTCTTAGAAATCCCAATATTATTCTCAAACATCTTCTGTAAATCTGGGAGTAAATATTTTTTATTAATTGTTATTACCATGTTATTTTACTTTTAATGATGTAATTATCATCTTCTTTTTTAATATTCTGATAATTCAATTTACTGATTTCCTCTTAGCACATTTTTGAGGTTAATTACAATTTCATCACGATTGCTACTTCATATTTGACAGTATCCATTACATCCGATAAAAATCTATAAATATTTTCTTTTTAACTTTGGTTATCTTTTGCTCTATTCTCATCTTATTTAGGACATAAGACATGATTAGATTCAATCTTTCTTATTTCTTCCAATTAATGATCTGATAATAAAATCTATTCTTATCTAGCCAACCACAGCAAAGCATTCACATTTACTTTTTTCATTTCTTAAGCAAATTTCAAAATATCTTAACCTTTTATAATTTCAATATCATTCATCAACTAATAATAAAAAAAATCAGAGATTGTTATAGTAGAATCTACATTCGATTTTCTTTAACAATTAGAGAATATTCCACGATTAACTAATCTCTTCTATGTTAAATCACCAATTATTTTTCATGATTAACAGTACACTTACAATTCCATATGTTTTTATTCAATAATTGGTTTTTCTCATCTTCTATCTACTTAAACATCCTCTATAAATGGGTAGAATCTCAGCAATGTATATTCATATATCACTTCTCAACTATTTTCTTACAATATATGCAAACTATATCATCATGTTAATTTTTTCCAAATATTTTCCCATAAGGTCCTTCTAGTTTCTACAAGATATCTGTGTCCTAAAATTAATTTTCTATCAAATCCTAAGAAAAGTCTGATACATAGAGATTATCGAATTATTATAAATTATATTTATTTTCAAACTTCACATGTCAAAAAATAACTATGAATAATAATAAAAGACTTTTCAAAATAACCTTAAAAAATTTCTAATCTTTGCCTAAACCATAGCAGGTATGAATACAGATTTTTCATTATTAGATTGAAATAAGAGAATAACTTCTACATAGTGAAATATATTATTATATTATAGAATATGCCATAATTGATTTCTCTTTTGGATGAACTATTAACCCATTAAATAATTTCTTTGCAGTGATTACATTCTTATTTTGATTGTCTTCAAGCTTATAATTTTGGATTCTCATGGACAGAATAGTTATGCAAAAAGGTGGATTGCAAATATTTTTTAATTAAAAGAACAATGAAATTCCTATTCTTCTTACTAGATTTATTTTAAATATATTTAATAATTCATAGGTTTATGAAGCTTATATATTTGATTTTTGATAGTTTTCAATATTATTTATATTATTTGTTTTACTCAATGTATTCTCTATTCTTATAAATTGGTCACTATATATATTTAAGCTAATTCTAAAGTTTAATAAGCTTATATATATTTCAATTTTGATTTGATATTTTTAAAGATTAAGGTTCATTCTCTAAGGTCTGCATTTAAAATTACATATGATTTAATCTTGGGTTATATTTTCTAAAATCTAATTTTCCTTTTATGAATTGTAGCTCAATTTAAGAATAAATATNCTAATCTCTTCTATGTTAAATCACCAATTATTTTTCATGATTAACAGTACACTTACAATTCCATATGTTTTTATTCAATAATTGGTTTTTCTCATCTTCTATCTACTTAAACATCCTCTATAAATGGGTAGAATCTCAGCAATGTATATTCATATATCACTTCTCAACTATTTTCTTACAATATATGCAAACTATATCATCATGTTAATTTTTTCCAAATATTTTCCCATAAGGTCCTTCTAGTTTCTACAAGATATCTGTGTCCTAAAATTAATTTTCTATCAAATCCTAAGAAAAGTCTGATACATAGAGATTATCGAATTATTATAAATTATATTTATTTTCAAACTTCACATGTCAAAAAATAACTATGAATAATAATAAAAGACTTTTCAAAATAACCTTAAAAAATTTCTAATCTTTGCCTAAACCATAGCAGGTATGAATACAGATTTTTCATTATTAGATTGAAATAAGAGAATAACTTCTACATAGTGAAATATATTATTATATTATAGAATATGCCATAATTGATTTCTCTTTTGGATGAACTATTAACCCATTAAATAATTTCTTTGCAGTGATTACATTCTTATTTTGATTGTCTTCAAGCTTATAATTTTGGATTCTCATGGACAGAATAGTTATGCAAAAAGGTGGATTGCAAATATTTTTTAATTAAAAGAACAATGAAATTCCTATTCTTCTTACTAGATTTATTTTAAATATATTTAATAATTCATAGGTTTATGAAGCTTATATATTTGATTTTTGATAGTTTTCAATATTATTTATATTATTTGTTTTACTCAATGTATTCTCTATTCTTATAAATTGGTCACTATATATATTTAAGCTAATTCTAAAGTTTAATAAGCTTATATATATTTCAATTTTGATTTGATATTTTTAAAGATTAAGGTTCATTCTCTAAGGTCTGCATTTAAAATTACATATGATTTAATCTTGGGTTATATTTTCTAAAATCTAATTTTCCTTTTATGAATTGTAGCTCAATTTAAGAATAAATATTGTTAATTTTTCATTTATATTTATATTACTAGAAGATTATATTTCTAGAATTTTTTTAATGATTCTTCTGAAAAATATAATTATAATAATAATTAATTTAACTTAAAAAAATTAATTATGATTAAAAATGATATTTATTGCTTAGTTCAAATCAATAACAATAATTTTAAAGTTAAACTCTATAATATAATTGCTTGATCTATTCTAACAAAAAAATATTAAATATATTGAGGAATAATATTTAGGAAAATCAGAGTGAAACTAAATTATTTTTTGTAGAAAACATAGCGACATAAATTAATTTCACTATTTCTTTTGTAAAATGGAGAAGAACTACTAAAGGAATAAAATAAAAACAAATTAATTCTGCAAAAAGAAAAATCATGAGAAAATTCTTTTTGAAAGTAATTTTTTAGTACTTTTATATTATAGATAAAATGTTGGCTGCAAATAAAATTGTCCATTTGAATCTCAAAACTATATTAATGGATTCTGTTAAGACTTTTCTTGTAAATATTCTTCTAAATATTAGAAGCAAAGTAATTTTTTGAGAGTTTCGAATAGTTTACATCATAAACAAGCATTCTCCAATATTCTTTGATTTATGATCCTTTGAAAATTGATACTAGTCCATCACTTTTATATAATTAAAATGATTATTTATTTGGTATCTTTAAATTTAACTCAGGATTTTGTAGATTTATTAGTTTTTAAACCTCATATTATAAAAATTATTTAATAGGTTTGAGAATAGAACTATTGATTTTTAATTCCATACCCTTAGGATGTGGTATGGAATTTAAAATTAATAATACTTATTATGGTTCAATTTTCTAAACAACTTAAGGAGTTTAAACTCATAAAATCAAAATTGAAGATACCATGTCTCCCTCTAGTTGTTATTCAACAGACAGTGTCTATTAAAGGTTTAGTCTAAATGGATTTTTTGATATACCTCAATATTCATTTCTATTAACAGCATAAGGGAACTATACGTAATATTAATCATCAATAACCAATCTAGAAATGCAGAAGCCGGATGGGGAATCAGCTCAATTCTGGTTACAAATGGATATTGTTCCTCAACATTTTTGATCTGTGATGCATGGAATTAAAGTATAAATAATCCCTGTACCTTTTATCTGCTTAACTTGCAGAAGTGGATATTTTAAAAATATATAAGGTACTTGCGTATCTTCCTGTTCTCAACCTTATTAGAATCTTGTTAATTCATTATGTCAAGATAATGATGATGAAACACCTTGTAATATATATATTTTAATTTAGATTCTAAATATTTAATTAAAGAATATATAAATTTAGCATATGACCCTACATAATACTCAAAGTATGTTTTGTTATCTCAAAATTGTATTAATTTCTTGAAAGGTTCAAGTATTTACTATTCTTATTGGAAATCTACAAGGGTCTTTGGAGGTCAATATGTATGGGCTTAGGCTAAATTTTCAAGAACATTTAATTAATTAAATCCTCATCATAGTGTAACTATTGGATTTTACATTTTATATGGTCCTAATTTACCTGCTGATGGCTAATTTATATACTCAGTTGATTCTATTATTTAAGTTTAAAAATCATTAAGCAATAGTTATACTACTAATACAGATAATACAAAATATCAGAGAATTCAGGAGAGATTACGATTACTTATAACTCTAATGTAATTAAGTTTTCTTAAGCGGAATGCTTATCTAATCAATATTATTTTAAACCTACTCTTAGTTGTTTAGATTGTTCTTCTTCTTGTTTGAGTTGCACTTCTCAACTTCATTGTTTAACTTGCTAAACCTCTTATATCTAGACAAAAGAAGGGTGTGTTTGTAAAATAAATCAATATGAATACTAAAATTAATGTTATGATTGTCCTATAGAATGTAATTAATGTTTAAGTGCAACTTATTGTATAGAATGTTTAATAATAAATAATAGAAGACTTTTAAATGGATAATGTGTTTGTATTGATGGTTATTATCCAATCATAGATAATCAAATCTGTTTAATTTGCCATAAATTTTGTGAAACTTGTTCTGGTCCAACAAATAATGATTGTATGACTTGCAACAATATAAGTATGATTGAAAAAATAGGATCTACTTGCTCATGTCCATTGGGTACAAGTTATTAAGAATCAACAAATTCATGTAATTCATGCCTTTTTCTTGTTAAACATGCTTTAGAGCAAGTATTAATGGTTTTCTTACTTGTAATTCATTAAAATTTCGAGTTTTAAAAGGTTTAGAATGTGTGTGTCATCCTGGATATTATGAGGTAAACAATGATTGTATAGGTATTAAATTTAATATTACATAGCCTGCCCAATAGAATTAGATAGTACTTTAAGTTAGTGTTATAAATAATGCAATAATAATTCATAAATTTGGCATTCTTAAAATTGCCTTTAATGCGATTCTGGTTTTATAATAGAATTTGATGAATGTCGTCCTATTTGTGGTGATTTATAAGTTTTAGGATATGAACAATGTGAAGATGGAAATTCTCTATTTGATGATAAATGTTACAATTGTTAATTTTAATGCCCATAAAATTGTTTGAATTGTGATTCATCTACAGTTTTACCTTGTCCTGATATATGTGGAGATGGTATAATCACAGGTAATGAAGAATGTGAAGATGGAAATTCTATTGAATATGATGGATGTTATAATTGTCGATATTAATGTTAACCTGAATGCACAAAATGTATTAAAGGATTATGTTAAGAATGTGCAACAAGAGGATGGTAATTAGATCCTACTTAGACTCCTTGGGTTTGCAAAGAAAAATGTGGCTATGGTATAAAAGTTGGTTCTGAATAATGTGATGATGCTAATTCTATTGACACAGATGGATGCAAAGATTTTCCATTTTTTGTAGATTAGGTTGCTTATCTTGTCATTACAATACAAATACTTGCTTGAGTTGTAACACTGAATTTAGACCAGTGTCATATTATTGCAAAAATATATGTGGAGATGGGCACATTGTGACTGATCCAACTGGATTTCATTCTGAATAATTTGATGATAAGAATACTATTTCTACTGATGGATGTAATGGTATTTGTTAATATTAATGTCAATCATCCGATATTTGTTTAACTTGCCTTTATGAAAGATGCGAGAATTGTGCCACAGGATATATACTTTCATTAGATAAAGTTTGTCTTCCTATTTGTGGAGATTCAATCAAAGTTTCAGAAGAAATTTGTGAAGATGGATTAATTCTGCCCTACTAAGGTTGCTAAAATTGCAAACCTAAATGATAACCTTCATTTTTATACTGTGGTACATCAGGTTAGGGATGCACAATATGTAAAACAGGCTATAATAAAATACATAATGTATGTTATTCTATCTGTGGTGATAAGTTAAAAACAGAGGATGAAGAATGCGATGATGGTAATCTAATTTATGATGATGGGTGTCATTAATGCAAATTTAATTGCCAAGCCTCTTGTTTAATCTGTGTAAAAGGAGTTTGTTTAGATTGTATTGATGGTTATTAGTTAATACAATCAAAATGCTATTCGATTTGTGGAGATGGAATTTAAACATACAATGAATAATGTGATTTCTTTGGAGAAGTAGATTAAAATGAGGGATGCAAGAATTGTCTATTCGAAAATGATGAAAATTGTTAAGTTTTCAATTTTGGTCTGTGTTAGCTTTGTAAAGAAGGTTATGAAATATCTCCCAATTTATAATATCAATGTGTTAAATAATTAGATTAACCTTATCGAATTATTGATCATTGTTTATTTCCACTTAGCGATACTTGTGTAAAATGCGACCTAAATGCAGACTATGATATTTTTGAAGAGCTAATTAGATAAAATTAACTTAATGTGAATTTTATATGAAAATATCTCCAAATCTTTATTGTAATCAATGTTTTCCTTTTTGCATTCAATGTTATAATGATGTTTGTGTAAAATGTTAAGAAGGATATTATCTAAATTAAAGAAATTAATGTGTTTCTCAATGTGGATATGGAATACTTGCTTATGATGAGCAACGTGAATTTAACGATAAGGATTGTTTTAGTTGTTAGATTATAAAACCTCAATATTGTAAATATTTTCATGAAATTTGTTTACTTTGTTAATATAGCTATTATTTAGAACTTGTGAACAATTCCTGTTAGTCTATTTGTGGAGATAACATAATTGCTACCAATGAAGAATGTGATGATGGTAATGAATTTAAATATGATGGATGTTATAATTGTAAATATCAATGCCGATAGGAATGTTCAGATTGTCAATTGGGTAAGTGTGTTGAATCTGTGGATACTTTTTTTTTGAATTAATCTATTAGTAAGTGTGAAAATTTGAAATTATGTGGAGATTAAGTAGGACTATATTATGATAGTTATACAAATAATTGTATTCCTAGATGTGGAGATGGGATATTAGCTGGCAAAGAAGAATGTGAAGATAGTAATAGTGTTCCTTATGATGGTTGCTATGAATGTTATTATTAATGTAATAAGAATTGCATTAATTGCTTAAAAGGGATTTGCTTTGAGTGTATATTAGGATTGTATTTAAATCAACAAAAATGTGTGTCTAAATGTGGAGATGGAATTAAGAATGGAAATGAGTTATGTGATGATTAAAATGATATACCTAGAGATGGATGTACTTAATATAATGTTGATCCAAATTATAAATGTTAAGAAGATAATAATAATTTAAGTTTTTGTTATAAATGTTAGGATAATTGTATTGAATGTAATTATAAAGATTCAACAATTATTGAATGTTTGAAATGAGATAGTGGATATTTTCTGAAAGATAATACATGTAATAAATGTTCAGATAAATGTAAAGAATGTGAAAATACTCCTAATAATTGTAAAATATGCACAAGTCAAGATTGTTAAGTATGTGATAATATCTCTGGTTTATATTTAGATAAATAATTATAATCATGTGTTACTAAATGTGGAGATAATATTATTGCAGGAATTGAATAATGTGATGATGGTAATAATATAGATAAGGATGGGTGTAATTCAAAATGCAATATTGAAAAAGATTTTATTTGTAAATAAGGTGTTTGCTATGAACCACCCAAAAAAAAAATTGATTTTTCTTACAAAAATTCTACTACTACAAGTGATATTGATTTGTTATTTGATGAATTAGAATTAGAAGTTATATGTGATAAATTAAAAATCAATATAGATGAATTTTATTAAAATGAATTTAATTATTAAGTTTTCAAAAAATCTGAGATGTAAGAAAATATGTCTGGATGTGAGATCAGGTTGAATTTTTTCAAAACTATTTTAGAATATAATCTAATTCATTTGCTTATTCCTTTAGTTAAAGAATCAAATAGGTTTCTAGATGAAGAAATTAGAGAAATTGTGATAACTCCAAGGAAATAAGTCTATTATAATTAATAATAATAAGAGTAAGCAAAAAGTATAGTATCAGCATAAATTACTTTTACATTTTTACTTCAATTAATTGGACCTTTAACAATAATTTTAGGAGGATTTAATTTTTTTGGACTATTTTAGATATATTGACATGGATCAATAATTTCTATTTTCTAAATGTAGATTATCCCTTAAATGTCAAGATGTTTTTTAATTAATTAGAATGGGGTGATATAATTAATATACCAGATGTAGTATCGTTAAATTAACCGGATGATGCATATCATTTTGAGGCTCCTCCTAAATTTATAGAGAAGGATGTTAATCCTTTATTTTTAAATAATATTCAATTATTTATTGCATTGAATTTCCTTGTATTTTTGATGTATTTGTTATCAAGACTCTATGTTAATTTGATTTATTAAAAATATTATAACAAAACTAAAAGAATTCATTAAATAGAAATTTTCTAAATTAGATAGATTAAATAATAAGACCAGATTGATCCAAATATAAAATCATAAGAGTAGGTTATTAAATAATTCACTTAACCTCCTCATTTATTAAATTTAATTTATAAATAGGCAAAATAATTTAATACGAATTTTAGAGCAAAATTAATATAAGTGATTGGTTTAGTATTTTTAGATATTTGTTTAGCATGTTTGCTTTAATTAAAATATTCAAAGAATTAAGAATTTTTAGTAGTTATCATTAACAGAATATCAGCTTATGTAGAAATACTATTCATTGTTTTAGTTTTTTAATTGTATAAATTTGTTTGTTCTCAACATACAATTCTTTATGAAAATAAACAATTTAAAGAAAATTATTGATCATTATATGAAGGAATCAAAACTAATAATAATTTATCTAAAAACTATTGCTATGTAAACTTGATCCGTAAAGCATTGTTTATCTTCTTTACAGTTTATTTTTATGAATTACCATTGCTATAAACATCGTTTTGTTGTATATCGTGCTTTTCAAATTTAGCTTTGATTCTTTATGAAAATCCTTTTTAAAATAAAAAGATATTAATCTAAGTAGCAGTTCCTGACCTATGCATATTCATAATTATATCCTTTAATGTAATATTAGCTGTTCATGATGTTAGTTAAATATTAACTTTTCAAGAAAAGTATATAATTGGCTGGATTATTCTAATTTTCATCCTACTTTCTATATTTATATAATTAGTCTTTTTGTTAAAGCAATTTTATGAGGATATGAAAGAAAGATATCAATCAATAAAGAATATTTAAAGAAAAAAAAAGAACAGGTTTAAGGATGAAATTAAATATTATATTAAATTATTTATTTATAAATAGATATTTATAAGTAATTATAATTAACTGTTATTCATTACCTATAAAAATTGGGTAGCATTCACATTAAAAATCTAATTCTTTAAAAAATACAAAAACAATAATATCCTAATTTGAAAATTCCTCATTACCAGTATAAAATTTTCATAAAATAATTCTTTTTCTAAATGAAGATTATGGGTAATTGTTAATAATAATCTTAATAATAATTAAATGTGAGTCTATCAATCCAATGATGGAGTAATCATGGATACAATTGAAAAGATTATTCCAAATTTTCACTATGTCTCATTTCCAATTTAATATAATAAGTAGAAGAGTTTGCTTATTGTTAGACATAAATCAAATATTTAATTATTAATTTTATATTTTTAAATTAACTTTGTTTTTAAAATAATTATGAGGTTCTATTAAAGAAAGAAATATCATGTTTTTTGGAATGCTTATATTAAGAATCTTATAAAAGTAATGGAAAATGTTTATTTATTTATTTAAGTAACTAATGATTTTATTATTCATTTTGTAATCAATTATTCGTAAAAGTAAAAGAGAAATAATAAATTTCCATAAAATGATTTTAGGTGATAATGATGTATTATTCATATTAATTGAATTCAAGGAGTCAGCAATACTTTAAAATTTTTATGGGCTAACAATTAAAGAATTAATATGGGGTCTAAACTCAAAATAATTATAATAAGATTTCTATATTCATATAAAGTTTATTACTTTTTTTGGACAAAAAAATAATCAAATTAATTTTTTTAAATTTTTTATTACCCCTTTTGTTTACCTACTATTCAAAAAATATAAAAAAATTGCTGAATATCCGCTTCTCAAAATATAACATTTTTGAAAATACATTGATGATTTAAAATGTCTTCTTTGACTTAAATATTCATATTTGATATAAATTGTAAATTCTATATTTACATCTGTTTTTTCTTTTCAATTATTTTATTCTTTTTTTTTTTTTATATCAATATATCTACTAAGAATCAGCATAGATTATAGATCTCTTAAAACATCCTCCTCGTTATGATCTTCAAAGCAGGTGTTAAATGACGATATTATCATTAGTATAGAGGTTAACAACACTTGATATCATTTTAAGAAAAAAATTAATAACACTCTGGAATTGATTTCTTGAATAAAGAATGATTGGGTTGTTGTGCATACGACACATTAATCATTCAATTTTTATCTTGGAGAAGAGATTGGTCCAATCCCCATGGTTTGCCAAATTATCTTTCTTAAAAAGAGCTCTATAATTATTATGAATTTGCTTTATTTAGCAGCTATCCTATTTTCACCTCTGATTGCTTATTCTAAAATACTTTGTCTGTCATAACTTTTAATAATCTGATGTTATGACAACGTTTATCCTTTTGGGAGTGTAATTCCTTTAAAAAATGATCTCAAAATATACAGAATCCTTTCTATCAATCGCTGCATCGGCTTGCTTAATCAAGAGTGATAGACATTTTTAATTTAAATTAAAGTTTTTTTTGAATTCAGAATTAAAAGCGTAAATTCAAATTTTATTACATTAATTCTTAATGAAAGAATCAATAATACCTGCATATTAATTTAACGTGTGTTAAAAATTAAATCATATATAAATTATGAAAATTGAAAATACCAATAGATGCAATGAACAAAAATTTCATGAAAATAGCGAAAGACTGCTTTGTTAAGACATTTTATTGAAAGATCACAATTGTGGATAGGAACTTTTGGATTAGCATGTATATTCCTAAATTTTTTATCTAAAATTACTTTAAAAACCTTGTTAAAACTACAAATTATCATTTAATAAGCCTTTGCATGAGAATTCCTTGAACGGAAAAGGTATATTGAGTTCTATTAAATGAAAGCTTTTTTTTCTATTGATAAGACATTATTTCAATTAATATATAAGATTGATAAACTATTTTCAAATTATTTTTATTTTTTTAATCACTGTTGTTATATTGATATTATAAATCTTTTATCTCATCTTAACTATCATAGTTATCAAGTGGTGAAAGAAATCAATAAAGTTATATATCAGCATTGTAATTACTTTTCGTATAATTTTCCTAATTTAAAAAAATAGCATTTATATATGTATATTTTTTATAGTTATAAACATAAAAAAGGATTTTTAAATTAAAAATTTTAATCAAATATTATTGATTTATCAAATTATAAATTCAATTAAAATTAAAATCAAAAATTTATACAAAATAAATCCAAACTTTATAATTATTTTAACTGATATACCTTAAAATATATGCTTACCCTTACCTTTTCAATTCAATTCTATCAAATTATAGATAACTAGTCTTAATAAATAATAAGAGCAAAAAATATAATTTGTTGATTAGCCTACCCATTTTCAATGAAATTTCATATTTGACAAAGAAAAGATAAAATTTAATTAAATATATTTAAAATATGGGATTATTCTTCTTTATTTTTCAGCTAAATTAATATAATCATAATAATAATTTTAATAAATTATTTGATTAACATAATTCACGGTTTTTCATCTCTTAACAAAAGCTAATCAAAAAGTAATAGAACCAAGATATTTTTACTAAATCTTCAGGAGGGTTTGTTTATAAAATGAGAAAACAGTGAATTTCCAGTGATACTAAAAAATAAAAGCAATATAAAAAGTTTAAGCTGTAAAAAATTTTGATTTTCCTTCCTTTTTCGTTATCATTTTAAACATTTCATAAGTGCTTATTACCTTAGAAATTAATTTTACCCAAATAATGTGCCTAATTAAATGATTCCGATGTAGACACTTTGAAACTAAAAGATAATTGACTCTTAAGTAAGTACCTTATTAAAAATAAGAAAGAACAAAATAGTTGTTCAACGCTTCCAAATAAGAAAGAATGTAGATATTAATTGTATTGGGATTGTTTAAATTGATTTTCCTTTCTTGATATTTATTTAGATCATTTCTTTTATATCAAATCTTAAACACAATGTTATGAAGTTCCACTTTGCATCATATAGCAATTTATTTATTAATATTTTGAGCTCTAAATCATTTTGTAAACTTTATTATATTCAACGATGTAAATTTGGATGATAACATTTTTTTCTGATCCCTAATATGGAACATTCCTCTTGAACATAACAATGATTTATCAGAACGATAATTTCCCATATTTTTCCAAAAATATTATAAATTTCCTATAACTTGTGGCAGACAAACTGGTATACTTCCATAAAGCAAAATATAATAATCGTTCATGAATATAATATGAAATTTAAATTGAATTAAACAATTTAGATATGTAAAATGAATATCCATAAATTAGCCTACAACACTTCTATTTCAGGTTTCTCTATACAATTTAAATTTTTTACAAAAAGCATTTATTATATATTAATGATGACAAAATGCTCACAACTAAAAGAGGAAGTAAAGATTTTTTATAAGAAGCCTAATTAGAATTAATGTTTTAATTAAGGTGAGAAATGGAACGTTTAATTTAATTGTGTAATGAAAAATTTGGTAGAGGTTTGTATTTTTGATTTTAGATAATGCATCTATTCATAAGGAACAATTTCTAAAATAGCATATAATCAACTAAATCAATTATCTATATCTTCCTCCTTATTGCCCATAACTTAATCCTATTGAAAAATTTTGGATAGACATAAAAAGCCATCTTTTTTCGTAAGATTGCAGAACAATGATTGCTGTTAATAATGACTAAAGCATAAAGAATATCAATAATAATAGAATTAAGAAATATTGTTCTAAGGTGTTTGTAAACTAATGGACTGCTTATAAAAGAATGATTTATGAGTAGAATTTCATATAATTATAAATAAATAATTTAAATCAACACATCATGACTTCAATAAAAGGATTTCAATGTATTCTGAAGAGCTATCTTCATGGTAATAAATAAAATGATGAAAAATAATAACAAATCTACAAACTACACAGATTAAATTCACGATAAATAATTAAAAAAAATGTAACATTAATAATGCCTAATAGTTATTAAACTATAAATTAATGAAAAAATCTTATTAAAATAATCAATATCAAAAATACAGCACACTAAATATAATTTAATAAAAATAAAATGATATATTATATTTTATTCAACTTATGGATAGATCCTCTTATACAATCATTAATTAGTGAAATTACAAAAAAAATTAGATATATTGTAAAATGACAGTAAAAAAAGGTTTAAATTACTTAATTCAGCCCCTAGTTGATTCAATTTTAGTTTTGATAGTAATATGTTATAGGAGTATCTATAGAAACTTTCAGAATTATTTCAATGACAGAAGGATTTAAACCATTATTTGAAAAGTTAAGTAACACTCTTAAATTTTTATATCTATTTCATTCAAATTCTAGTTCTCTTTTTTTTATTTAAAATGGGATTTATTAGTAATAATTAAGAAGAACCATGTGCTTAAATAATTCTTCCCATTTAAAAGAATACGTTTTATCAAATATACATTTGGAATATTGATTTAAATTACAAAATAACTTGTAAGTAATATATAAGTACAATTAAAGAATTAAAAAATAATAAATTCTTAATAGATAATATATTGAAATATTCTATTAAATAATAAATCACAATTTATGAATAATATTCAATATTTATAATTATTATATTTCCATTACTACTTTAATCTAAATCTTCTTCTAAGAAAATATAAAATAATTAAAGCAGAAACTAGTCCCGATAATATCCAAATGGTATATTAATTTATATTTAATTGTTATGTTTATGGTACTTCAATAAATACCTTAAGTCCAGCCTCTGATACGTCATTTTAAGCAATCAATGTAAAAGTATTTTCTTAATTATTTTCTTCATTAACCTAAATTAAGTATCCAGATTCCCCTATAAGTAATTTATCACCTAAATCAGTATAAATAAATAAGTGAGTAGTATTTAAAGGGTAGAAATTCCAATTAATTAAATTAAAACTACCAATATAATCATAAAGTTTCCTCTCATATAACAAATTATAAATATAAATGGAATTCTTAGAAGACTTTAAGAGTAAAACATATTCACTATAATATGCCAACGTTAATCCACTTTATTCTTAGCTATTTCTTATAAATTTCAAAACTTTATAAGAAGATGAAAAGTCTTACAAATTAATTTAAATCTGGGCGATGACAGAAAAACTTGTAAAAATTTATAAAATCAATAAACTTATTTTTTCTTGGTATAGATTACATTCTAAAAAATTTATTAATTAATTTATGTTAACTTCATTATCATCAAAATATAAATAATTATATAATTCAAGATTAATAGTTGACTAAGAAATTATGGTTTAACCAATCTCTTTTAATTTATTTGACTAAAGAGAGAGAAGATGAAATATATTAATAAATCTTTAATGCAATTAACTTAGTGAAATGTACAAATCATTTTATCCTCTTACTTTTAAAATTTATAATAAAGATTAATCGTTTTCTTAAAAATAAATTTCTGTTTTGTTAATAGAATAAATAATAAATTGACTATTGATTCTTTTAAATAATATTAAATTTCCTGTAACTTTTATAGGATCTTAATAAAATATATCATTCTATTAATCACTAATTATAATTTTTTTTATTTCTGTAAAAAATTCAACATTGTCATTCATTTATAAAATTGACATAGATATGATAGCATTTATTACTTCAATCAATACCCAAATTTTTAATTTTCCATTAATTACAATGACCTATCCTTAATATGTTTTATTTTTTAATTTATTTGGAATCAAGATCTATTATTCTTCATCTAATTTAATTAAAATGCCTTTTGTTTTATGGAGAATATGTTAAATAAATTAAGGTAGTGTAATAGTTGTAATATTTATTGATCCTATCTCTTATTGAGATAATAAATTATCTGATAACAGTATGGGACCATTAATAATAATATTATCATTATTTAAAATATTGAGTCTATCAATTGGACCATCAAAATAATCAAGTGTATTTAATTTTACATTTTTTGGAATTGACAATTAAATTTAAAGAATATTGTTTCTATTGTAAATTTAATAACAAAGATTACTACTTCTCACTTCAAATTCTATCTCAAAATTAGAGTAATATTTATTCAAAGGCACTATGTAAAATGAGAAGTTTTTCTTAGTCATACTATTATCTTTTTCTAATGGAAAGATGTTCTTAATTTATACTATAAAGTCAGTAAGACTTAAAATCATAACTTCGTCCTTATCATCATAATAAAACAAGTGATAATCTTTGAAAAAGAATTATAATCTATTCGTTTTAATAACATAGATTAATTTGAAAGGTTTTGAAATGTAGATAGTATATATAAAAATGAAATTGGTTGTATCATTTTTACATGCTATTGCAAAATATTTATTATTTATTTAGTATCTTAATGGTCTAATAATTTAATAATCGTCTAGTGTTTAATTATTAAAAATTGATAATTGGTCGAAATCGTAATGATATTCTATTATATTATTACGATTTAGATGTACTGCCAAAAAATAATATAAACTTCGTACATAAATGGTTTTCATATAAACAATTTATATATTATCAATTTTTTTGATTTAATTTCCTTAATTCAATTAAATTATCAAATATTCCTTAAACTATATCAATGAGGAAGATTCATCTGAAACATAAAAGGAACAATTTAATAGAGAATTTTGGTTAAAGTTTTTGGATTAAGATAAAGAATGTTAAAATAATTTATATAGTAGTCTTTTTGTATTCTCATTTAATTTGACTTCAATTAAACTATCCAAATTAATTATCATAAAATCACTAGGATTTTGGGTTATAATTGAAATTAATTTATCAAATTGGAAAATATTTATGATTTCACTCTTAACTTTTCTTTCTATAATTCCTTCATGAATTTTTAATAAATCTAAAAATTTCAATTTTCTTTCACTTTTGTTTATTATTAAAACAAAATTCTGATATGAAGATACATCATAATTGGCTGTATTTATCTTAAATTTATTTGTACCATTACAAAGAAATGTTTATAAACTATTTTTAGATTGCAATGAGATAAATCCACCATTTTTATCTGTATAAAACATTAAGTTATGATCACTAAGATGTTATCTTTTTAATATAGGACAATATTAAATAAAGGGTTATCTATCATAAATATTAAAAAAATCGAATGATTATAAAGGCAACAAAATTTCATAATCAAAAGGAAGAGCCAATTCATTCTTTTGTATAAACAATTGAGAAGAATTTTAACATTTATTATCAAAATTCAAAATTGTATGCCCTTCATCAATAACAGTAATATTTTTAATTTCAGTACAATTTACAAAATATGAGTCATGGTATAATGAAGTTTAGGCCAAAAATATATATTTTTTTGTTGGTTTCAATATATTTTTTGCATAAGAAAATTTGTAAAATGTAATTTCCTTATTTATTTCATCTACTTATTATATCAAATTAAAATTATCATAAAAAATTAAATATGAAGTATTAATTTAAAGATGCTATTTTATAAATTGATTGAAATAAATTTAGAGTTCATTATGAGTTTATACAAACAGAATATCTTAAAAAAATTAACTGGTAATTATTGTACCCTCAATTTCTAAATAGCTTTAAGATTTGTAAATTATGGTTTTATTAACAGCTTCAACGTATGTTACTGAATAAATTGCATTACAAGTTTATGTGAATAGAAGATTTTCCCATTTTAAAGCCTTTTCAGAGGAATATATAAAATCTAATTCATAAAATTCATTAAAAAAATAATGATGATATTCTTTTTCCATAATCAAAAATAATTATTTTGATAATGTGCTCTTGCTTAAACATAATTAAATATTCTCAATTTATGTATCCATTTAATTCACATATTTTAGTGCAATTTATTTATTCAAAATTATTTTCAATTTGTTATTATAATAAGAGAATACTACCCAACTTTAACATTAATAAAAAGTCAAAATGTAGATATTTTCATTTAATTTGGCATATTTTCTTTTACATTAAATATATTCTTCCAAATTAATCTAATAACTTAAATTTAAAGTAGTTGTATTATTAAAATTAATACTATATATATTGAACTTATAAGAATTAAAACAGAAAATTAAAAATTCTGAATGATCATTCAAAAAAAATTCCTCACAAATATCATCAATCTATATTGAAGGATTCAATATTAATGAATCAATTTAATTCGTATGGTAATTCTTTTCACTTTCAAAATTTAAATCATTCATACAAGTAATAAAATAGTTTAAGCCCTTTAGAAATTTGCAAAATAACTATCCTATTTAATTTTCAACATTTATTTGATCAACAATCAATGATGAAATGATTTATTCTTCTCCCTAATATGATACTTTAATAATTTAACTAATTATGCTCTAATCAAATTATTCAAGATTTGAATAATCATTTGTATCACTTTCAATTAACATAGTATTAGGTATCTTTGATATAAATACTTCACCAGTTACAAGTTAAGTAATTTCACATTTAGATGCTAAGACAATTGACGATTTTAGAAGGACTGTAATAATCAGAGGTTTGAAAAATTATAAACTCATAATTAAAAATATATACATAAATAAATCTTGTATCAATTCGAAAACTATCTATTCCAATCTAAACTAATAATCTTAATTGTATTGTCCTAAATCATATGCTTTACTAAAAGAATTATACTTGTGAGTCCATAAAATTTATGAAGCAAAATTCTTTTTCTATTATAAAATGAAAACTCTTTTACTTTTTTTGATGTTGGAGAATAGTAGTTATCATAAATTTATAAGCATACAAGTATCATTTTCTTCCATCTTAGTTTTAAAGAAAATTCAATTTTTAAATAATGTTAGACATGACTTTGAATATGATGAAAATATTTTAACTTATCTAATTAATATCAACTTAATATGAAGCTCAACATTTTACAAAAAAAATGCTTATTTCTTCTAAATCTTGTAGTTCAGTACATAAAAATATAAAAAATTAAGGAAAACAGGAGGATTGGAATGAATCTCTAACATATGGTTTGATCAAGAAAAAACAGAATAATTAAATATCCTTATTGATAAATAACTATCTTCAGATTTTTATATTGAATTGCTGAGCTGAGAGTATTTCTTTAATATATAAGGTAGGCTTCTTAGAAGTAGGTTTTCTGGCTTTTTCATCTTCTATTTCATAATAGCATTTAACAAGAGAGGAGTAAGAGATGGAGAGTATTGATGGAGCTCCAATTTTTCTCAATTTTAAGAATTTAAAGAGTTGTACAGAGCTAAAATTTATAATGCTTATCAAAAAATTATTTATAAGAAATAATTGAGAGGAAGAGCACTTCTTAAATTGAAGTAGGAGTATGAATTATACTCGTTTGATTGATATACCTTACAATTATACTGAATTATGTTTTTATTTATAACGATTGATATTCAGTAGGATAAACGAAGAGGGAAGACTTTTTAATAGTAGCTGTAATTTTTTTATGTATTTTGCTCATACCATGAGTAAAATATAAAAAATTCTCTTCTGTATAATAAATTTTTCTAATTAAATTCAATTCAATAACTTATTCTCTCATTGCTTTTCTCAGAGATATTCGAGCCCAAGAAAATGTAATTTTTATTATAATAGCTCAGAATATTCATTGTCATATATAAAATATTTCCTCCTTAAACTCTCTCAAAATTAGCTAATGAAATACTAGATTACATAAGCTCTGATACCCAAGTATACATATATGATTGTCTATTAATTTTATAATCAATATTTGCCATAAAATAAGTAACCCTATCAGAAGACTTACAACTTATGAGAATTCTAACTAAGAATTTTTGTCCAAATATTTTGGGATATTTAATCATCATTAATAAGAACTAAAATATTTCACTTACTTAAGTAAAATGGACAATTTATGCCATATTTAATCTATTTCAAAAACTAGACTAATTCGAATTAATAAAAGTGGAAAAATACATATATAAGGGTTTTCAAGATTAATGTTATAATTTCCCTTTTGTTTTTAATTGTTTAAGAAAATAAATAAATTTTTAAAAGATAAATAAAACTGCTTAATTGCAATATTCTTTATGTTTTAATTAATCCAATAAATTGGTATAATAAAGTTAAGAATTATTTTAATTGGATGAATAATTGTATGAATTATGGTTTAAAACATCAAACCCACCTTAGGTGATGCTTTCAATTGAGTATTTAAAAGTAGCAAAAAGTCAATCATATTATCCAAAATAAATGGATATTACTTTAGAAGATTTCAATATATCATGAATATTGTGAATAAGAATAAAAATAAGTTCTTTCTAATTGGATTCAAGAAATGACAGATACATATAAATTTAAATAAATAATTCCTTATATTTCAATATAATAAAAAGAGGGGAATCACCTTATGATATATTAATTTATGCTAATTAAATTTTATAAAGTTATAAGTAAATAGTAGATGGAATAGGATGTTTAAATTTAAAATCATTATTTTAAATCTTTTTCAATAATGCAAATGACGAATTAAGAGTAATTTTAATGAAGTTTTTTTCAAAAGAATATCCAATTCCATTCTTATATTTAAATCCCACTATGGATAATCTAAGGTTTAAAACTGAAATATTGCTGTTAAATAGCAATTTATTTTATTTTATTTAATAAGGTTATACAATTCTTAATTTTTCTTTAAGTTAAAATTAAAAAAAAATAGGCAAAACAGAACTCATCAATTAAATTTTTTATGAAAGAGAAAAGTTTTAAACTAGTGACACATGTTAAATGAATTAAAATACAATTGATATTATGTTTGATTTTGAATTCAACAATTCAAGAAATTTTATTGTAGCTGATGTTCATGGAACAATAATCTTTGAAATCTTAATTAAAATACTTCCATTTTTTTAATTTTGGATAGTTTAAATGGATTCTTTAAAAGAATATCAAGAAAATTTAGATTAAATTAGTATAATCTTACAAAAAATAGAATACTAAATCAAACAAAAACTTGAAATTTGTTTTATTGTCAGAAATACAGAAGAGAGAGAATTAATGAATAACTAACCAATCAATTATGAAATAGAAAATAAAAATATTAAAATATTTTATCTTCATAATTTAAATGCAAACTAAATAGACAAATAATTTAAAATAAGTTAAATTTAAGATGTTTCCAAGTTCTTGTTTAGTTTAATTTTGGACCATTAAAAAAGACTTTAATAAAGCAATCAATATTAAGAAAATTTAAAAAACTAATTCCTCCTAGTACTTTAATAATTTAACCCATAATATAATGTTTGTATTTAATAAATAATCAACCATTAAAATCTTATCAATTAAATTTAAGATAAACTAAATGGAATAGTGAATGAACAGGATGGATTTTATTCGTAAAATGCATTTCCTATAAGACGAATTTAATGGAATATGAAAAAACTAAGGAATCAAAATTATGAATTGTGCATGAAAACTATTGAGAACAAAATGGAAATTGAGAAGAATAAAAAACAAATAGAAGATTAAGAAATACAAATATAAAAATAGAATCCAACTTAGTTGTTAAAAATTTTCTGTGAAATTTTTAAGTAAAAACAATAANATGATATATTAATTTATGCTAATTAAATTTTATAAAGTTATAAGTAAATAGTAGATGGAATAGGATGTTTAAATTTAAAATCATTATTTTAAATCTTTTTCAATAATGCAAATGACGAATTAAGAGTAATTTTAATGAAGTTTTTTTCAAAAGAATATCCAATTCCATTCTTATATTTAAATCCCACTATGGATAATCTAAGGTTTAAAACTGAAATATTGCTGTTAAATAGCAATTTATTTTATTTTATTTAATAAGGTTATACAATTCTTAATTTTTCTTTAAGTTAAAATTAAAAAAAAATAGGCAAAACAGAACTCATCAATTAAATTTTTTATGAAAGAGAAAAGTTTTAAACTAGTGACACATGTTAAATGAATTAAAATACAATTGATATTATGTTTGATTTTGAATTCAACAATTCAAGAAATTTTATTGTAGCTGATGTTCATGGAACAATAATCTTTGAAATCTTAATTAAAATACTTCCATTTTTTTAATTTTGGATAGTTTAAATGGATTCTTTAAAAGAATATCAAGAAAATTTAGATTAAATTAGTATAATCTTACAAAAAATAGAATACTAAATCAAACAAAAACTTGAAATTTGTTTTATTGTCAGAAATACAGAAGAGAGAGAATTAATGAATAACTAACCAATCAATTATGAAATAGAAAATAAAAATATTAAAATATTTTATCTTCATAATTTAAATGCAAACTAAATAGACAAATAATTTAAAATAAGTTAAATTTAAGATGTTTCCAAGTTCTTGTTTAGTTTAATTTTGGACCATTAAAAAAGACTTTAATAAAGCAATCAATATTAAGAAAATTTAAAAAACTAATTCCTCCTAGTACTTTAATAATTTAACCCATAATATAATGTTTGTATTTAATAAATAATCAACCATTAAAATCTTATCAATTAAATTTAAGATAAACTAAATGGAATAGTGAATGAACAGGATGGATTTTATTCGTAAAATGCATTTCCTATAAGACGAATTTAATGGAATATGAAAAAACTAAGGAATCAAAATTATGAATTGTGCATGAAAACTATTGAGAACAAAATGGAAATTGAGAAGAATAAAAAACAAATAGAAGATTAAGAAATACAAATATAAAAATAGAATCCAACTTAGTTGTTAAAAATTTTCTGTGAAATTTTTAAGTAAAAACAATAATAATAGATAAAATTTTATATTATATATTAATTTAGAATAATATTATATTGTTTATCTTTAGATTGTTGATAAAATTAGGTAATTTAATGAAAAAAATTTAATAAATTTATAGCAAAAAGATTATGAATTAAATGAATAGTTCAATAAATTAAAATAGGAAAAACATAAAATAAAATAGAAATATCTCAATAATTTACAAAATTTATGTGAAGATCAATTAAATAAAACAATAAAAGATAAGATGTCTAAATTAAAACAATAAATGGATAATAATGCACTAAATATTTCTAAGAAAAATGTTGGTATTGAATTATTTTGGAGAGAATTAATCAGCTTAAGAAAATCTAATAACTATGATCTAGAATTCAATCCAGTTGAAACACTCTCTGAATTGATTAGAAAAGGAGAATCATTAGAATTTTTAGATGGAGATACTTTATCAATTAACACTTAATTTTTATTTGATTTAGAAAATAAAATAACATATTAGGTCCTTAAAGTTCAGGTAAATCAACTATTTTAAACAAAATCTTTGGATGCCATTTTTGGGCTAGTGTTGGAAGATGTACAAAAGGAATTCATTTATAAATATTATAAGTTTAAAATAAGCAAGTATTTCAAAATCGTTTTGATTAAATACTTATTCTTGATACAGAAGGTTTACAAAATCCCAATTAAATTGATGTAGAATTTGATAAAAAATTGCATTATTTGTGCTTTCAATTAGATATATTATTATGATAAATGTAAAAGGAGAGATTAATTAATAATTTAAAAGTTTGGTTGAAATCTGCATATTTACTTTGGGACATTTTAAAAATGGATTATCAATTGTTAAACAATTAAGTTGGTTTTTCAATTAAAATGATAATTATAAAAATGTCTAACCATTCAGGTAATAAATTAAAGACCTTGCATAAAATTTAAATATATAATGGAATGAAAATTATTATGATTAATAAGAAGAGTATATTGATTATGCAGATATTTTAGATATAAAAGACAATATTTCTGGTTTAGGATTTGCTTCTGATTAGAAAGATTGATGTAAGAATGGTTGGAATCAATCTGTAAATAATCCTATATTTTCTAGAGAAGCATATAAATAGGGAATAAGCATGATAAAATAATTTATTTCAAAAATTTAAGATTAAAAAGATCCATTAAGCAATTTTAATCATTTTCTTTAAAAGTTCAAAGAAATTGGGAAAGCATAGAAAAGTTACCCGATTTATTGGAATTTAGCGAATTAATTTAACATTAATAACATTTAATAATGAAAAAATATTTTGATAATTTTTGGAAAACGTAAGATATACCTTAAGTAGGTGAAAATATTATTGAAGATACTAATTACAAAATCAAAATTGAGAAATAGATTGTTTTTGATTCTTTCAAATAAATTCAAATTGAATAAGAAAATGATATGTAATCAACATATTCATAAATCAAAACCAAAATAGATGAAAAGATGAATTCATTCAAAAGTGAAAATAAGATTTTTAAAAAAATCATATAAAATTATTAGATGAAACTTGAAAATTTGATTAAAAGCAAGGAATTAGATTGCAAAATAAAAATATAAACTTTAATTTAAAAATATGAAGGAGAATATTAAAAGAAGAAAGGATATGTTTAAATTGATAATTTTATTTAAACTGTCTTAAATGATGAAAAATAGAAAAAAAAATTTTAAGGAAATGAAAAACTAATTGAATCAGAATTTAAAAAAAAATGAGAGTAACATATAAATGAAACTAATAAAGCATTAGAATAATAATATTTGAGAATGGTAGATACATAATATAAAGTTCTTAAATCAATTTCAAATGAATATAATTTAAAAACAGAAAATGAATTAGAGTATTTCAATTATTTTATGGATGTATTAATCAAATAAAATCCATATGATAATTAAAACACAGAAAACAAAAATATATTTTAACTTTTTTAACGAGAATTACAAGAAAACGAACAATTCATAAGTATTAATAATAATAACAGATAAAATTAATCTTATCTTGACATCTTCCATCAAAAAATTTAATAGATATTAGAAAAATCTAAAGATTAATTAATAGATATGAAATAATTTTACTCTTAATAGATTTAGTATTCAATTATTACAAAAGTTGATATTTAAGAATATTTAAATTCTCAATTTGAATAAGATTTTGATTAATTTTTAAGAAAATATGAGAATCATACTAATATCGGGGCTCACTTTTATAATTTTTTATCTTTTTTAGACTATTTGCAAATTTCATATCATAAAAAGTCAAAATAATAATTAGATAATATCATAAATAATTATTCTAATTAGCAGCAAATAAAATAATTATTTATTAATAAAAGAGAATAACCTTATTAAGCCTTTAATAAATTGAAAAAATCACTCCATTCTGATTATAATGCTAATTAAGAAATAGATTTGTCTGGTACAACATTTGGTTAAACTTTCATGAATACTTATTAAGGTTTGAAAATTAGTTAAACAAAAGATGAATCATGGAATAATACTTAATCATTCAAAAAAGAACTTTTATAAAAAAATATAATAATTAAAACATAAAACGATATTTTTACAAGTTAAAATACATATTAAGAATCCTTTAACTTTATAATGTCTCCTTAAAGTTCTTTTCCTGTATATTTTAGATCAAAATTTCCAAAATAATTTAATACAATTATGATTAATTTAAAAGGCTGGAATAAACTTTATAATGAACTCTACAATTTAATTTAATAAGAAATGATTTTTTAAAAAAGAAAAGTAAATAATAATAAGGAAGATGAATATATTTAATCTTTTAATCCTTATTTAATCACAGGTATAATGAAAAAGGTTGAAAATAGCATTAAGGTAAAATATAATAATTATTTTGCTTAATTTGGTGTTATTTTAACTGATGTTGGAGAAAGGTGCATCTATTACTATTCTATGTTAATTATATGGAGATTCCTTTGTTATTAACGTTAGAATTCAAAAAATATATAATAAAAGCATTAGAAAAATTATTAAAATGAATTAAATAGATGTATAGCTGAAATTAATTAAGATAATTAAAAATAAAGTTGTATTAAAGCAAAAGAATTGGTTAATAAAATATAAAAATCTTTAAAAAAATAATATTTGGATATAATTAAGAAAGAAGTATTATAAAATATTAATAAAATAAGTATGTCAAATTTTCAACTTGTAGAAAAATTAGACAAGGAATTACTTATTGATGTGGATGAAAAAACATTTGAGGATTAGTAATATTAATTAAAAATATTATCTTATACAACTGATCATAAATCATATATTAATAAGTATGTATAGGATATGTTAGCATAATTTTAATTAGAATTGTTCGATGAATATTCAAATAAATATAGATAAGAATTAAGTTAATACTTAAAGTGTATTGTCAACAAAATAAATTTATTATAATATTCGAATTAAATAATTTATATTATTTTTGCTATCTTTACTGATACCATCCAAACACGTATTATAATACATTATTGACTAATGTATATTTTAATCCAATGATGTAATTAATTAATGACGATTATTTATTTTCAAATTAAATATATAAAAATATACATTAGTCAATAATGTATTAAAATACGTGTTTGGATGGTAAAATTGATGAAATTATTATTCTTAAGAAATTTATCCAAAATTTTTAATAATTACTTTTTCGGTTTACTTTTGGTATAAATTAATTATTATATAGTTATTTCAAATTAATCAACTTCACTTCAACATTCACTAATTAATAATTATTTATTCATATATATATGTTGTATAAATTTTTTTTGATTTAATTA